CGCAGGACAAGAAAGTCCGAGTGGAACCTCTCGCTGAGCTGGAGACGGGCAGCGCGGATCCAAGGGATCAAAACATCAGGGACTTCACCCTTGGTGCGCAAGGGGAAGACCGTGGTGTAGCGCGAGTAGTCGTCAACAACTATCAAGAAGTACCTCTCGTGACCCTGTCCACGAACGCGGGCTGGGCCCCACACGTCCATGTGGAGCGTCTGCAAGGGAGCAGTCGTCGGGGGAAACGAGGAGGAGTGAGGAGCGGCGCGCTGCCGCCCCTCGACACAGGGAAGACAGGGAGGAGCAGGCGAGGGTGGGAGGGGAGGGAGAACCCTGGGAAGACCAGAGACAAGGTACCGCTTGTGCATGCCACGAAGGCGCTGCACTGACGGGTGACCAAGGCGGTGGTGCCAGAGGACGGTCTCGTGCGCTAGAGAGCGACACGAGCAGGGGGCCGACAGCTGACCTGACGCAGACGCAGACGCAGCTACCTGAGGGGACTCAGTGGTCAGTGTGTACAGGTCCGACCCCGGCTGCCGAGTGAAGGTAGCCAGGTGACGGCCCGTCCGAGCACACGTGCAGTGTGTCACGCGCTCGTAGGCAGGGGTGAACTGGTGGACACCCCCGTCTTGGAGCGCACAACCCGCCACCAAGTTCGTAGAGAACGAGGGGAGGTGGAGACCTGACAGTGTGCCCGACGGAACCGCAGGACAAGGAAGGACAGTGGAGGAGGTCGCAATGACCGGACCCCCAGAGGGGTCAGCGAGGGAGACAGCAACTGGCCGAGCAAGCTGCTCAAGGACAGTGCGGTCACGAAAGAAACAGCGAGAAGCACCTGAGTCCAGTGTGAAGGTGTGCAGTGCCTCAGTAGACTCAGTACCAGGGGGGGCAGACTCACGAGCACCTAGAGCAGCAGCCTCACCAGCACCTGGGGCAGCAGACACGCAAATACCTGGAGCGGCAGCCTCACCAGCACCTAGGGCAACCGACGCACTAGCACCTAGAGCGGCAGCCTCACTGGTCCAAATGCCGGGTCGGGCGGAACACGCAGGTACTGATCACCCTCTCCACTAGTACACAGCACATACATGGCACCAAGAATAGCATCAAAGTCAAGAGCATAGATATCAATGTTCTTCCTCATCAGATCAGCCCAGCGGGGCAGCTCAGTGGCATGAGGGAACTGAGTGCGCCAGGCGTCGTCGAGGCGGGAGAAGCAGCGCTGCGTGGTGTGCGCCCTCCCACACGTCTGGCCAGTGCGGTCACCAGTGCGGATGACGTAAGTGCAGCTAAGGCCACCCCCCCCCCCGTGCTGAGAGTACCACTCACGAAGCTCCTGGGACGACGGAGTCTGCTGTTGGCTCTGGCCACCGCCAGCGCCTCCACGACCACCACCTCCGCGGCCACCACCTCGACCTCCACCGCCCCTGCCGCCGCCGCGTCCACCGCCGCCACCACCACCGCCCCCACCTCTGCCACCTCCTCCGCCCCTGCCGCCACCACCACCACCCCCACCGCTGCCACTAGCCCCTCCAGCCCCGCCACCACTCCCACTGCCGCCACCGCCCCCACCACCGCCTCCCCCGCCGTCACCTCCGCCTCCCTTGCCCCCTTTGCCCTTGCCGTTGCGGCGCCAACTCGGAGTGGACGCAGTCCCGACCTGCTTAGCACGAACTAGGTCGACAGCAGCAGCAAAGGCGACAGAGGGGAGAAGGGGGGAAGGGGAACACCCCTCGAAGAAAGGGGTGCGGGGGTCGCCACGAGAGGCACCTACAGTGACTATGCTAGTCTCAGCTGCAAGCAGTTCCTTCTCGAGCAGATCAACGGTGAGCTCAGTGGGGCAGCGAGCGAGGAAGTGGTCCCTGACCGCACGAAGAGGGTCAGGGAGACGGGTGACTAGGTGGTAGAGAGTGAGCCAGAGCGGGGGGGGGGTTCTTGGCAAGAAACTCAGCGGGCATAGCGGCACGGAAGCGGGCCTCACTAGTGCGGAGGTGCGTGATGAGGTCAGCGACTGTGGAGAAAGCGGACAGGTCGGGGAACAGGTAGGGGAGCGAGAGACGGCCTAGCGCAGCAGAGGCAGGTGAGGAGTAGCGTGCAACTACAGCAGTGTACAGTGCCTGCGCAGTTTTGTGCTGGCCAAAGTGCTCGCGCTCATCTACCGGCAGGGAGTTGCGAATAGCGAAGCGAGCGTGGGCGTCACGATTCTGCCACTGTGAGCGGGCAGTACTGTCAGCAGTAGCAGCAGGGGCAGCAGCGAGTCCTAGTGCGTGATCGTACAGCGAGATATCCTCCTTGGCAGTGAGCTGGAGGAACAGGTGCAAGTCATCTAGCCAGGTGTCAAAATTCAGTGGGCGGCCCTCAGCATCGAAAGAGAGCACAGCAGGGCTAGCCATAGTTGTAGGAGGAGCAGTAGTAGCAGTAACAGTGACAGTAGTAGCGGCGCGGCTCGGTAGGGCGGCGCGGCTCGGTAGGGCGGCGCGGCTCGGTAGGGCGGCGCGGCTCGGTAGGGCGGCGCGGCTCGGGCCGGGCGACGCGATTCGGTGGGGCGGCTCGGCTCGGCTAGGCGGCGGCTACTCGAGGTGGGGCACGCGAGGGCGTGCAGGGCAGAGCGGGGCCGGTCCGCGAGGGGCACGAAATGGCGGGCTAGCGGGGCGGGGCCTGGTCGCACGGGGCACGCAAGGGCGAGCTAGCGGGGCGGGGCCTGGTCGCACGGTGCACGTAAGAGCGGGCTAGCGGGGCGGGGCCGGTACGCGAGGGGCACGCAAGGGCGCGCGGGTGGGTGTGGGCCGATCGCTCGGGGCACGCAAGGGCGCGCGGGTAGGTGGGGCCGGTTCGTAAGGAGCGCGCACGGGCGCGTGGGGCAGCTGGCGCTCGGGGCCGTACGAGGCACGCAAGGGCGCGCGCGGGGCAAGCTACGCGCGTGGGGCTGCACGGGTCGCACGCGAGGGCGTGTGAGGAAGGCGGGGCCGATCGCATGGGGCACGCTAGGGCGCGCGGGCTGGGCGGGGCCGATCGCTAGAGGCACGCTAGGGCGCGCGACAGTGAGGGAGAGAGGAGGGCGCTCGAGGGCGCGACTAGGCGAGGCGCGCTAGGGCGCGACTAAGCGGAAACGGTGGGCCCTATCATTCGGTCCTAGGTTACGACCTAGGCTCGCGATACCATGTTAGAAACTAAGGATGAACGAGAATGATGAACTAGAAAGGGAATGGGGATACAAGTACCAGACCTTAGAGTAGTGTACCCCCTAGAAGGCTAACCCACTATAGCCTACACAAATATAACATATATATAATGTTTGACATAGCCACCCCACAGGCATCAAGAGGATCGAGTTCCTCGTTCGCTGGAAGGACCGCACGCCAACTGAAGATAGCTGGGTGCCCCTGGCCAACATCGAAAACCACCCTGCCCTGCAAGTGTACCTGAGGAGCCGGGGTTTCCGCGATATACACGCAATCGCGTAGCGGACGGGGCTTCGCCAACTTCGCGCGCACTGTTTTACCAAACCATGCATTGCTGGCCTGGCCGAGTCCGCCCACGCTTCGGGACTAGCCCGAACCTCGATGCCAGCCTAGCACTAGCTAGCTCGCACGCACCGCGTAACCGTTGCATGCTTTCGCACATAGTATTCGCTCATGCCTTCGTTCATACTTTGTACTCGTTTGACACCTAGTGCAATCCTCGCTATCTCGTTCAACTGCACCCGTAACATGGGCATGTGTCACATTTTATGGATGCTATTGACAATAAGGTGACAACTTCTTCCACCCCTACAGTAGAATTTTATCAGCAACTTTGGTCATAAAAAAACATCCCCCATTGCCAACCACAACATTTCTTGCCGCCTGCAAGATCAACTGGAAACACACCGTACGAAAGAAGCACCTCCTCACGAAACCACCACGAACGCCATGCTCTCCGCCTTCTCCGCCATCAGGCGGCCATGGATTCTGCCGAGCTTGACTAAGTCAACATTCTCGCTACAATGCTCATCGCATACGTCTGTTGTTGTTCCCAGTATCGCTTTTAACACTAACAATGGAATACCGGTCATTTCAGCTGACCTAGGTTTCTCCAGTTACAAGGCGACATTGCACAACGTCTGTCAGGCATTCCCGGGGTCGTGCTTAAGTCTGGTTTCTAACCATGGTGCACAACATACACCTTTTGATGGCTTCACTGTTGCTACCTCGGTTATTAAGAAAGAAAGTTTCAAGGTTGAAACCTCGGGAACAGATCATCAGCAGCAAGAAATCTTGGAGCCTGACAATTTCTGGTTACTACACAATGGAGTGCTCAGTCAGCAGGCATTTCATCATCTTTCAGTCATCGAGCGTGCTCTGCACGCTGCTCCTCTGCCTGGCTTTCATCATCGCACTATGTCGCACCCGGCGGATGTTGCAGTCCTTCCCAAGGGTCAGCGCTTTAAGCCTGCGACTGACCCACTGGCTCCTCCTGCTCCTCCTGTGGTTGTTCAACAAACGGGTGGAGATGGTGTTAACAATGTTCACAATTCTTCCGTCACGTCTGACAATGCTGCTGCTACGGCCAATGTCAACGCATCAGGCTTTGGATCTGGCTCATCAGCCAGTGGTATGGTTTCATTGATGACGATTCGGACGATGAAATGATGATTGATGACAGAGATTCAAGCTTCAGGCTTCGCTCCGTACATTTCCAGCTCTGTGGTCGGCGCAGAGGGCCAGGCCCACTAGGCCCTAAGAATCTCTTCTGGAGGCAAAGGTCCCACTCCTCACGCACGGTTACGACCGTCTTTGTCTGTATATGCTTGCCTTGTCGGTGTATACATTCAAAAAAAAAAAAAAAAAAAAAAAAAAACCCTGGAAACACACCACATGCAAATCTCAAGCGTAGTATAATCCTTATAACATGGATGTAATGTTCATATGCGGGTAGCTTTCAGTATGTTTGATTGAGCTATCCCATGTGTGGCATCTGCTAGATTCAGACTGCACCATCCCTTTCCCCATTGTCCTCCCCATCCACACTCATCCATCTACACTCATCTGCTCACCCTCCCCTCCCTCCTTTCCCTGCCCTTGTCCCGCCAAGTCCTCTCCTTCCGCACTCCCACCATCCCCATCCTCCTCCCCCTCTACTGCCTTCTCCTCACACTCCACTCGAATATCACCCCCTCTTTCCACCTTCATGTCACCCCCTCCTTCCCCCTTCATCTCCTCCTCCCCCTTCTCTTCCTCCCTTCCCTCCTCTCTCCTCCCCTCCCTGCTTTCCTCCCTCGTGGGAGACACGGGTCCAAAGGCAACAGGAGGGGGGTTATCCACCAGCCACTTACTCGCCTCCTCCTCCTCCTCCATCTCCTCCTCCCCTCCCTCCCTCACTCTCTCACTCCCACCCTCGCCTTTCTCCCCAGCACCCTTTCCAGACCCACCCCTCTCCTCCTTCTCCCCATCCTCCTCCTTTCCCTCATCCATCCTCCCCACTCCCACCCTACCCTCCCTACCATCACTACCACTCGCTCCTCTCCCCCTGCTGCCCGCATCGCCCCCACCGATTCCCTCGCCACCGCCACTCCCACAGCCACTCCCACCGCCGCTCCCACCACCAGCAGAGCCACTACCCACCCCCTCATCCCGAGCCCCCCCGCTGCTCCTAGCCCCGCCCTCCGCCGTCCCAACACCCGCCCCACCACCCGCCCCAACACCTGCCCCACCACCCCCACCGCCCCCACCCAGTTCCATGGCTGCTTCCTCCACCACCACTTCTCGAAAGAACCCTGCAAACTCAGGCGAGTGCGGGGCGATGTCCGGGGAACCTGGCCTTCCACCCCCCCTCTCATCTGTCTCCATTGCTGCATTTCCCCCCTCCCCTCCCTCCTCCTCATCCCCCTTCCCTCCACCCCCCTCCCCACCCTCTCCCGCCTGTCCTGCTGCTCCCCCCTCTTGCCTCGCCCTGCCTCCCTGGTTGGGAAGCTGGGGTTTTGAGGGTGGTGGGGAGGTTTGGGAGGGAGGAGGGAGGGAGGATGGGGAGGAGGAGGAAGGGGAGGTGCGGTAGAGGCGGTGGAGATGGGAGGGGGGGAGGGGGAGGGCGGGGAACGGGGCTGTGGGGGGTGGGGCGGAGGAGGTCACCAGGAGCAGCTGCAGGGGGGAGGTTGGGGGAAGGGAAGAGGGAAAGGGGGAGGGAGAGAGGGAGAGGGGGTGAGGAAGAGAGGGAGGAAAAAGCCCAACGCAATTGGCAGGACAGCAGAGGTAGGCGAATAAAAGGAGAGACTGGGAGAATGGTAGGAGGAGGGATAGAAAACGGGGAGTGGAAAGGCATTGGAAACATTGGGTGGAAATTGGGTAAAGAGGGTGGGTGGGAAGGGTGGGTGGGGAGGGTGGGAGAGAATAATGGAAGGGAGGAGTCAGACGGACCTTCTCGAGAGCAAAGGCAACGCGGTTCAGATTGGTGTAGGTGGCTCGGGGGTTGAGAAGCACCTGGGAGACAGCCAGGAGGAAAAGCAGGTGAATTCGCAGCAGGAGAAAAAATCAGGTGAATTCACAGCAGGAGAAAAAATCAGGTGAATTCGCAGCAGGAGGAGAAACGGTAGGTGAAAATGGAGCAGGAGCAAGGACTGGTGATTATACAAGCCCATCTTTTACAAGCTGACACGGTACAAGCACACACCCTCCACAAGCTGACTGAATAATAGAAGCACACACCTCTCACAAGCTGACCTGATACAAGCACAAACGTCTCACTCTGACTCTGTACAGATACAAACCTCGCAAATGCGCTGGATGGTGAAGGGTGGCCCGTCTGTGAATGCCTCAAGGTCTGTGGTAAAGGAGTGGGGGGGAGCAAGGGAGAGCGAAGCAGAGAGTGTGGGGGGAGGGGGGCAAACACAGAGATGCGCTGAATGGTGAAAGGCACAAATACACAGACCCGTCTGCTAACGTGTCAAGTTCTGCCTGTGGGGATGGACGAAAGGCATGGAGGGGGGAGAGAGAGAGGGGAGAGAGGGGGGGGCAAACACACAGATGCGCTGAATGGTGAAGGGTGCAAATACACAGACCCGTCTGCAAACGTGTCAATGTCCGTCTGTGGGGACGGACGAAATGCATGGAGGAGGGAGAGGGAGAGAGGGGAGAGGGGGGAAGAGGGGGGTTAAGGAGGAGAGAGGAGGGCAGGGAGCAGTGGATTTATGGTGAGAGAGGGGAGAAGGGAGAGAGGAAGGGAGAGGGATGCATGCAGGAGTGAGGCAGAGAGGGACGACAGATGAAGCAGAGAAGAAGGGCACCTCCTCTCTGTCTTTATAAACTGCATCCAGGTCTGTGCTCACGAAGTTGGCGGAGAAATGGGGGTAAGGGGAGAGTGAGACAAGACAAATCCCTCATCATAGCAGGCCATGTGCATGCATAGTAGAACCATGTCACAAGCTTGTGTGTACTATGAGAGTGGGCGCACAAGGAGAGTGGGCGCACAAGGAGAGTGGGCGCACAAGGAGAGTGGGCGCACAAGGAGAGTGGGCTGGGCACACTCACATGAGAGGATGCGTTCACTCAGCTCCGCAAATGTCTCCCCCGACGGCAGGGGGTTAGCAGTCAAGTACCCACCCCTGGCTAGCAGTCAACACGGGAAGCACACACGTACATGATAGAATGCGTTCACTCAGCTCCGCAAACGTCTCCCCTGACGGCAGCGGGCCTCGAGCAGCATATCTAGCAGCCCTGATAGCTGGCAGTCAAGTACCCACCCCTGACATGCATAGCTAGCAGCACTCATTGAGGGAAGCGCACACTCACAGGAGAGAATGCGTTCGCTCAGCTCGGCAAACGTCTCCCCTGATGGCAGCGGGCGAGGAGGACCCACCCCTGCCACGCGCTCTGTCTCATACTCCTCCAGCACCTGACAGGTGGCAGGTGGGGGGTGGGAGGGGAGGGTGGGTGGCAGGAATGATGCCCGTCAGAAGCAAGATACAAGAGGCAAGCCCACCCCTGCCACGCGCTCTGTCTCATACTCCTCCAGCACCTGACAGGTGGCAGGTGGGGGGTGGGAGGGGAGGGTGGGTGGCAGGAATGATGCCCGTCAGAAGCAAGATACAAGAGGCAAGCCCACCCCTGCCACACGCTCTGTCTCATACTCCTCCAGGACCTGAGGGGTGGCAAGTGGGGTGGACCTGAGGAATGAATGACACAAGAGGCGGACCCACCCCTGCCACGCGCTCTGTCTCGTACTCCTCCAGGACCTGCCGGGTGGCAGGTGGAGGGTGGGAGGGGCAACACAACGACAGGGAGGAGATCTCTAGCCTGAATCATGCATGCCACGAGCTTTACAGAGCGAGGCGGAACCACCCCTGCCACGCACTCTGTCTCGTACTCCTCCAGGACCTGAGGGGCGGCAGGGGGACATGGGAGGGGCGAGGCCAGCAAGGAGGGTCCTTCTAGCATTGCGGAGGGGCACACATTGTGGTGTCTAGTGGGCGAGGGGGACCCACCCACCCCTGCCACGCGCTCTGTCCTATACTTGAGGACCTGGCAAGTGGCAGGGGAGATTGGGAGAGAGTGGAGATACATTAGAGATAGTGAGGGGAGGTAAGACGCTTTCAGTGGCACAACACTGTTTAAGACAGGCAGTGCCACCAGCTCCCGTGATATACACCTTTCCGCCCTCCTTTTCCCCCTCCGTTTCACACCGTCCTCCACACCACACCCCTGCAGTACCTGGTTCGAAGAACAAACAGAATTTGCAGATGACGCATTTAAACGTGTGCACTGCAATCCGTTTCTGGTGAACGATGTACTTGATTGAAACCACAACGTGTAAAATGATGTAATAGCACGATGTAATGCAGTGTGATGTGACAGTCACGTGCTGCAGATATTGTCCCTGTAGCTATACCTGAGAGATTGTGAACCCCAGCAGCTCTCTCACGGACTCCCAGTCATGCCTACACATCAACCAGCGAGGGGGGGGGATGTGGGAGGGGGGGTGTGGGGAAGAACCAGACCAGATGAAGGAGGAGGAACTTTGAGAGGAGGAGCAAGGGCTCTGATGCGGGATGCGGGATTTCCGTAATCGGTTCTGATAGTCTGATAACTCTCTGTCGCCAGGTGGCTTGCCAAGTAACGGGTGACGAGACGGAGAAACACGAGGGCTGGAATCAGAAAATCCGGAGACTACTTTTGGGGTTGACTCCAAAACTTATCAGTGCTTGGACTAAAATTCCCGGTGACTCGCTCGGTCTAAGCAGTTATTTAAAGAGCGGCTTGGCACTGCACCTACGCACGACTGCCTTGTTCAACACTCAGTGCACTCAGTGCGTAAGGTCATGGCTATGTATGAATTGAGTCGACTCAGAAATGAGCTCAGTGCGTAAGGTCAGTGCGACACGCATGGCTATGTAGTCGATATCACGAAACATAGTAACCGCAACATTATTACAAGAATGTACATTTCATCGCGACGCGTCACGCACCGGTTCCGAAACGCCGTAAGCGCCGCTGCGGCCGGCAGAGACGACACGGCCATCGTCGTAAGTTCCTGTCGCGTTACGATTGCTTGATGCCTAGCTGCTAGCTGAATTGATCGTTCAGTTAGAAAAGAAGAAGCACTCCTCGCAATCCTTTATCGTGAGACTGATGCCTTCTAAACTCCGCTACTCGCCTGCTACACCGCTACAGGACGAGCGCGAACACGGCCAATGGCACGCACGCATTGATAAAATCGCGTGATTCGTTATGGCATACAGTCACGGTCAGGCGAATAGGTCTTCACGCGGTAATCCTCAGTAGAGTGGTCGAGAGTCGAGAGCTCTTTCCTTCCACTACCTTCCAGCCTGAGGAAGTCTACCCTCTCGCAAAATGGCGGGAAGCATAGTTTCTGGCTGCTGAGGACTGCTTCGCCGAGAGGAACTCGATACAAAAACCGATTATAGTTTCAACGTTGACAAATGTTCGACGATAGTGGTATATTTTCTTCTAGAAGGACTTCTGCACGTGTGAAGGTGATCAACAGTGTGTCAATTACTCATCAAAGAATAAATAAATGCATTTGAAGAAATTTAAATACAGCAACAAAAGGCAGGATGTTTTTACAGTATTCACTGATTTCAAGCATAGCCGACATTTAGCTCAGCCGACATTTGACACCCTGGCCCTGGCCATCCACAAGAGAGACGGCCCTGGCTTGCACCATCACCTCCCTCCCTCACATGCACCAATCACCTCCAATCAGACACAGCCAGCACCGGCTGCCCTTTCCACATGAGCCTCGCAGCACCCCCCACCGACACCACTTCAAATCTCCCATCCCTCCCCTCCGTTGTCTCCCTCATAGCAGCCAATGCCTCCCTCCCCAGCCCCACCTCCTCAAACCCTAACCTCCCCATCCGCTCCTGCCACTGCTCCAGCCTCTCGGCGCGTATCAGCCGTTGGATCCCCTCGCATCCGACGCAGTTGATGAGCTCACGGAACAGCAGCGTCTCCCAGATGAAACGGACGGGCGAGATCGCGGAATCGGGCATGGTGGCATGGACGGCTGAGATGAAAGCAAGCATGGATCGGAAGGTTTCGCGCACGCGGGCGAGGAAGAAGGGGCCGTTGAGGGCCGCGTCTACCTCTGCTAGGAGCACCAGGCGGGGCTTGAGTGCCTGGATCCACTGGAGGGGTTTGGAGCGGTTTTAGGGGTTGAGATGGAAGGCAAGGAGGGGTTGGAAGGGTAGGGAAGGGCATGTGGGGTGCGCAATCTGTTTTGAGACGTCTCAGAACAGAAGTATCATCACAGGGAAGAGAAGATTTTGGAGGAAAAGTGGTGAACACCACATCTCATCTCACCATCAGCATCTCATCTCACCATCAGCATCTCATCTCACCATCAGCATCTCATCTCACCATCAGCATCTCATCTCACCATCAGCATCTCATCTCACCATCAGCATCTCATCTCACCATCAGCATCTCATCTCACCATCAGCATCTCATCTCACCATCAGCATCTCATCTCACCATCAGCATCTCATCTCACCTTGAGCATGAGAGATCACCATTCAGCCCAGATCTTACTATTGAGGACGGCATCTCGTGGGTTGTGCCTCAGCCCAGAGTCATCTGGGAAGAGCATGAGCGACCAGAGGGAGCATACCACCGCCTCCTCCCCCCCCTCCTCCCTGCTGGCTAGCCAACTTCAGTCTCACCTTTACCCTTGGTACCGCATCTCACCTTGAGCACCACAGCTTGTGGGTTGTGTCTCAACCCAGAGTCATCTGGGAAGAGCATGAGCGACCAGAGGGAGCACACCACCACGTCCTCCCCACTTTCCCTTCCGACCCACCCACATTTCAGCATGATAGCTTAGAGAAAACCAGCTCACCTTGAGCACGGCATCTCGTGGGTTGTGTCTGAGAACGGAATCATCTGGAAAGAGCATGAGCGTCCAGAGGGAGATCACCACCACCTCCTCCCCCGGCTGAACCTTCACCATGCCCGGATGGAGTGACTCCAGAGGCACATCCACCATCTCAAACGTCACGGGCAGCCCCAAAACTTTTGCGAGCTGCCTGAAGAACTGGTGGCCGAAGGTGGAGGCGCTGAAGGTGGAATCGAGGTGGACCGTGCCGCCATTGATACCTGTCACGCGGATGGAGAGCGGCGGGGGCAAGGGCGGGTGGGGGTGGTGGTGGTGGTGCTGCTGCTGCTGCTGCTGCTGCTGGTGATGATGCTGTTGCTGGTGGTGGTGGTGCTGTGCGGTGCCCCCCTTCTCTGCAGCTTCCCTTTCCAGCCCTGCAAACAGCACTGCATGCGCACCGGCAGTCAAAGCAGCAGCAGACTCCGAAAGGCCACACCCGCTGCATGTGCCTGCACCTACATGCCCTCCACCATTACTGCTGCTACTGCCACTGCCACTGCCCCTAGCGCTGCTCCTGCTGCTGCCACTCCTGCTGTTCACAGTGCTTCTCTGTCTTTCAACGCACATACAGCACGTGCCACTACTGCTGCTGTTGCTGGCAGGGTCACCCACTGTGGAACTAGTTTGTGGGTTAACCGCGATCATGGCGGTATTTTCAATAGGAGGAGACGCGGCAGCAGAAGCAGAAGCAGCACCAGCAGCAGCGGCAGCAGCAGGGAAGCCACAGGCAGTGGCGATGCGGCAGAGGAGAGAGGCCCACTGAGGTGCACCGATCATGCCAAACACTACCAGGTGAATGCGGCGTGGGGGTGGGGCAGGTGAAGCTGGTGCTCCTGCTGCTGCTGCTGCTTTCGAAGTTGGTGCTGCCGCTGCTGTTGCCGCTGCAGCTGGTGTTGCTAGCGGTGGTGTGTGTGTGGCAGTGGTGCACAGAACACGAGGTATTTCGTGGAGGAGAGTAGCAAAGGCGAAGTTGGTATACGCGATGTCGGTCTCGTGCGAGTGCCCCACTGCCGCCATCACATCTGCTGCAGACTGTGGGAGGTACAGAGCGGTGGAGAGCAGTACGAAGGTGTTATGAGGAGCCAGCTGATCCACACTATGTTGGTCTCATGAGGCTGTGTGTGGTAAAGAGCGGCGGAGAGGGATAAGGATGTGTTTTCAAGGAATTTGGAAGTTGATTCACACAATGTCGGTCTCATCAGTGAAAGTGCCCCACTGCTGCCATCACATCTGCTACAGACTGTGGGAGGACAAGAGTGGTGGAGAGCGGCAGGAAGGCGTTATGAGGTGCCACAAGTGACACCACAAGCCAGTTCCAGAGAAACCAAACCACCCCACCTTGACTGGAAACTCGATCGGCACGCGCCACTTGACAGCAGCAGTGCCGTCCGCCCTCGCCTCCAGAGCCTGCAGCATGTACCATGCCACGCGCTGCCCCCACCCCAACCCCTCCTCACCCCCCCACTCGCCTCTCCCCTCACACCAACACCCCACCTTCTCAACTTGACTGGGAACTCAATGTGTGCTCGCCATTTGACAGCAGCAGTGCCATCCGCCCTGCCCTCCAACAACCAAGCACAGCACGCTCATGCACTCAAGCACAACCCACCTTGACTGGGAACTCGATCGGCTCGCGCCACTTGACAGCAGCAGTGCCATCCGCCCTGGCCTCCAGAGCCTGCACCATGTACCATGCCACGCGCTGCCCCGCATCCCCCTCCGCACTCGCCTCCCCCCGCACCTTCTTCCCCCACCGCCGCACCAGCGTCCAGTCCCCCACTGCGTGCGCCTCTGCTAGCGCCAGCACGTGCTGCCTCAGGCGCCGCTCCCTCTCCTCCTCCCTGCTGGGCTGTGAGGGGACGCCCACGCGTCGGAGGGACGAGTCTGCGAAGAGAGAGAAGTCGAATTGAAGGTTTGGGCGGAGGTGGAGAGCGGTGGTGAGGGACGGTTCTTGAGAAGAGGGGGTGTGAGCGAGTTGAGCCTGTTGGGCCTGATGCTGGTAGGGTAGGACTGAACCTCGTTTCTGCTGCTGCTGCTGCGGCTGCGGCTGCTGCTGCCGCAATCGCCCCAGCAGTGGTGGTATTGACTGCACCAGCTGCAAATTCCTGTGTTCTTGCCCCTGCTGCTCCTCCTGCTGTATCGCCTGCTGCCGCCACTGCGTCTGATGCTGCTGCTGCTGCTGCTGCTGCTGCTGCTGCTGCTGCTGCTGCTGCTGCGTCTGCTGTTGCCACTGTATCTGCTGCTGAATCGGCTGTTCCTGCTGCATCTGCATCTTCTGCTGCTGCAGCAGCAGCAGTTGCTGCTGCCTTTGTTGCGCCTCCATCGCCCCCTGCAGCTCCCTCAACCGCTCAAGCCCAGACGACAGGCTCTGCAGCACACCCACCATCTCCATCGCCGTACTTGTTCCACCCACCCCTTGCATAACACCCCTAGCTGCTGGTAACCCTCCCCCTCCTACTACTACCTCCTCTGCTTCCCCGCTCGTTTCCCCTTGACCTGCTCTCGCATCCGAACCCATGGCTGCTCTTTCACACATGGTCATCTGGTCAGGTGCAACGCCGATATCTGCCATGATGTTTGCCCGAACCTCACTGTATTCCGTACCTGAGTTACCACTTGCTGGGCCTGATAACAAGCCTTTGTTCGAGCCTGATTGCGTGGCTCGGCTGCCTGGCATGGGCCTAGCCGCCGGCCGAGGCTTGGAAGAGATCCCACGGATTAGTGATGCCAGGCGAGTGGTCAGATCGCCCCTGCGAATCTTACCAGGGGGTGACGTGTCTCGGGGAAGGTTCTTAGCTCTGGAAGGAAGCTTCTCAATTCTGGAAGGAAGCTTCTCTGGTACTACTGTAGCAGGAGGAATACTTTTGTACAATGGGCCTGGTAAGGTTTTCTCCAGCTCAGTTAGGATTAATGACTGAAGCGGAGGATTGGGTGGAGAGGGATAGGAACAATAATCTGCTAGGGATGGTGTAGTGTCAATCAGGGTATCCATGTCAGAAGGTGACGTGTCAAAAATGGCTTCTAAGTCGCATCCATTAAGGGGAGAGTCAGCTGACCATCCAGGGGGAATCACCAACGGGATTTCCACGTCACCTATCACCAACAAATTTGGGCTTGCCACGTCAGATGGTACGGTTCTGACGTCATCACGTGCCTGACCTTCTTCGCTAACGATTTCAGCTGCAGTAAGAGAATTTGGTTCGTAGTAAGCTGTATCGGTGTTGAGGATATCGAAGCCTTCGATCCCTTCGAACCCACTAAAATCTATCGCAGAAGCGGCTAAACCGCGGCCTAAGCTTTCAGCCGGATCTTGGCGCGAATCTCCGTCAAAACGACCCTGATCAAACAGCGAAGCTTCCTCCATATGTCCCCCAAGAAAATCCATTCTTCCACCGATCTCACGTTCTTAAGTCGAGTATAGCCAACCACAAACAAAATACTCTGTCGAGCGGTGGTCTAAATTTCCACTCGCTTACACTAGATTCATGCTCATGACTGGGGTGATAAAAGAGATAACGAGCACAGGGACTCCCAAGACCCTATCTGCTGCCTCTCGCAGTGCTGCCTGTTGGTGTGGATGCTCGGTTATTCCTCTCGCTCAAAGCTTGACTTGTTGGCATTCAGGTTCCTTCGCGCGCTTGTCGTTCAGTTTCGCCATTGATGTTACCACCGTCGGTGCTGCTTTCGTTGGTATCGACAGCGTCGAGATTGCCGCCATAAGTGAAGTTCAAATCCGCGAGGCTCGGGATTGCTGCCATTGGTCGTGTCGGCATCGAGGCTGCCGTGCAGTCCGCTGGCAGAGCAAGGTTTCTAAACAAACTGGCGGCTTGGAATTCTGATGATCCGAGCTGAAAACGAACCTAGGATGTTGACTGGGTAATTCAGAGCGGTTCAGTACAGTATAAGTCCAAACATTGCAGAACTCTTCTGGCACAACGGTCCACTTTCGACTGCAACTAACCGAAGCAAACCGTGGTGAACACCCGTAAACCCAAACCGTTAGCAATGGTGTTCGAGAGTGCAAAGAGTCATCCAGGGAACCACGCCTTACCGCATCGACTTGCTCTAAACCATCTGAGATCCATCTGTAGAACGAAGGCCGTCGTAGTAATCTTTCCTGTTCTGTCTAGCGAATTGTTCTTGTCGTTTACAGTTCATCCGTCGTGGGTGCAAGACGATTCCAGACGGTTGACAGCGGTCATCTAGCTTCACTGCTATACACCGTGACGCAACGAGAGTAACCGCTCAGAACGATCGAGGGACAAACGCAATTTCATACGCCAATGTTTTACTGCTTCTGATCCTGGCAGCTGATGAAACTGCTAGTGGGACGCGATGGCGTATGAAATCGTGCACGCGACTCCAGAATCGAGGCAATGCTTTGTTTGTGCCGCTCAGCTACCAGTGCTCATGCATCACTTTCTGGCGATCTGACCATTCCTTGCAACTTTTTCTCCGGTTCCCTTTCATGTCTGCACTGGTATCAGTTTTCAATAGCAAATCTAAGCCGTAGGTTCCTCACTGATGGCATCCACATTCAGCATCAGCTGCATTACGCGATTTGAAGTCGTAAGATTCTGTATTCCTCAAAGAACGGCTGAACTGATGCCACAAGTAGTCGCGGGTGTGACGTACGGCGACAGTAGGGTAACCCGATCTTCAGTTGAAACCAAATTTCTTTACATGGAACCCTGAATTTAGCGTTTCCTGTGAGAGGAGGCGCCAGAGATGGGGAACACAGCGGGCGAGGAACGGAGGAGGCAAGGGATGGGCAATGTCGATCCAGCTGTCCGAGGTTTACAGAATTGTGAGGAAGAACCTATCGTTACGATAGATGTTGGGAATAAAAGGAGAAAAGCGTGTACATGGTGTACTCGTGAGAGAAAGTGCAATAGCGGGAGACAGTGTACAAGTCGATTGGGACAACTCCAAGGTCGCAGGGAAAATTCTCAAGGTCGCAAGGAAGAATTCCAAGGTCGCAGGGAACAATTCCAAGGTCGCATGGAACAACTCCAAGGTCGCAGGCGACAACTCCAAGGTCGCAGGCGACAACTCCAAGGTCGCAGGCGACAACTCCAAGGTCGCAAGCGACAGCTCACCTGTAGCATCTTGCTCCTCTTCCTAGCAGTGAGTCCCATCCCATTGACTGCTGCATGTGTGGACCCCTGAAATAGCGTACAGCACGGCCTTTTCCCCCTCCCTCCTCCTTCGAAAGTTTCGAAGCCCCTTTAAACCCTCCACTCTTTCCCCTCCGTTCTGCTCAACCGTACCCCATTCTCCCGCTCCCTCCCTCCCACAGTCTTCTTGCCCTCCCCTCACATCCTCCTTCCAACTCGCCCCCTTCATTCACATATCTTTCTCCGATTCCCTCTGTGGCGACTCGCTCCCTCCTACTCCGGCCTAGAGGCTTTTTTTGCTTTCCCTTCCGTTTTACCCAACCTGACTCCCCCTCCTCCCCTTCCACCACACCCCCCCCCCCCCCCCCCCCCCCCCCCCCCCCCCCCCTCCCCCCCCCCAGCTCCCTTGCCCTCCTCTCGCGTCCTCCTCCCCCCTCGCCCCCTTCCTGGATGTTTCCTTCTCCGACTCCCTCTGTGGCGCCTGGGCTCCCGCCTACTCCGCTCTGCACGCCCACATTCGCCACGCTGCTCAGGCCAATGCCCCCGCACTCGCACAAACAGCGGAAGGGGGCATCTGAAGGCCTTTTCTCTCTTTCCCAGCTTTCCCCTCGGTTTTGCCCAACCTTCTTCTCCCCTCCAATCTCCCCCCCCCCCTCCCCCTCCCCCTCCCAGATTCCTTCAGTCCCCCTCGCGTCCTCCTCCCCCCTCGCCCCCTTCCTGGATGTTTCCTTCTCCGACTCCCTCTGTGGCGCCTGGGCTCCCTCCTACTCCGCTCTGCACGCCCACATTCGCCACGCTGCTCAGGCCAATGCCCCCGCACTCGCACAAACCGCTGCTGCTGCACATGATGCTGCTACTGCCGCTGCAGATGCAAGGGCAGCAGCACAGGATGCAGCAGCAGCAGCTGCACCAGCACCAGCGGCAGCAGGAACAGCACCAGCAGCAGCAGCAGCAGCTGCAACAGCACCCTCCCCTACCACTCCACACCTCTCACAACCCCCTCCCCTTCCCCCTTCCCCTCCTCCCCCAATCCAATACCCCCACCCACGTCTCGATCCATCCATCCGTTTCCTCACATACGAGTGGCCAGACGAGGCAGGAGGGTTAGGGGATTTCCTCACGGGCCTTGCCACTGCCTTTGCCTGTGCGCTGCTCTCCCGCCGAGCCTTCCTGGTCCGGCACCCGTACCTCCCGCTGGCCTTTGCGCCGAACCTGGTGGACTGGTCGTGGACCCCGGACGTACCTGTGGAGCCGGCTCGGAAGCTAGCTTTGGAAGATGGGAAACTGGGAGGTAGCGCAGGAGAGAGTGGGGGAGATGGAGCGGGAGAGGGAGGGGGTGTGGGGGAAGAGGGGAGGGGAGGAGGGGAGGTGGCAGTGCAGGAGGGGGAGGTGGTGGTGGTTGATTTCAGAAACCGGTTTGTGGAGCCCGAGGAGGTGTTTGGGATAATGGATAAGGCGCTCAACGTGCGGGTGACGTGGAATAGAGGCCTGCTGACATACCTCCTCGTTCAGGTCAGTATGAGTGGCTCCTTTTCCTTGTTGCTGGGTAGTTGAAAGCGGAGGAGGTGTTTGGGATCATGGATAAGGCGATGAACGTGCAGGTGACGTGGAATAGAGGCCTGCTCACGTACCTCCTCGTTCAGGTCAGTCCCACTCGTTCCTTCCTCATCTCCCCGCTTCCTCTCATCCCCTCCTCTCTTGCATTCTGTTTGTTTGTTTGTTTTTTTTTCATGATGTTTAAAAACACCATGCATCTCAAATGCCAGTTGCTTCTCTCCAGCTTATGGCACCCCACTACCCCATCCTCCCTATCCCGTCCGTCCGGCCTTCTGCTGCAGGCAGTGGAGAGGAAGTGGGCAGACAGACAGTCTAAGGGACATGGGCATGCGGCCTTCCTCTTTCTGAGTTGCCTATACGTGATTTTCCTATATCCTCTCTTTGCCCCTTTTCCCTGTCTCTGCCGCTGCTGCCTCTGCCACTGCTGTGCAGGCATTTGAGAAGAAGTGGGCGGACAGTCTAAAGGACATGGGCATGCGGCCTCCCTTTGCCTTTGGCTGTATCCTGCGCTTCCTGCTCAAGTGAGTCGGCTAGGTGCATGTTTCATTGCATAAGAATTTTGAGACGTCTCAAAAGACGATTCCTGCTCAAGTGAGTTTGGTACATCGGCAATACAGGATTCATGCAGCGTCTATTTTGGAATCCCCAAAGATACCCTGAGTCTGGCAGGCAGGCACATGATCTGTACTGGGTTCATTTCACGCGAATAAGCTATGTTTTTTTTTTTTTTTTTTTTTTTGGTGGATATAAGTACACTACACCTCATTTCACGCGAATAAGCTATGTAGTGTAGAAGTGTCTTTCCAAGGTACAGTGCTCATAAGAAATCACCCTCTCGCTTTCCCTTTCCCTCCCCCTTCCTCCTTCATTTAGGTTTTCCCCTCCATCATCCTCTCGCTCCTCCTGATGCATATTCTCCTCCTGATGCCTCCATCCAACCCTGCAATACCCTGGTCCAGGTATTCTCCATCCTGGTCCCAAGCTGAGATCATCTCTGGAGTGCAAGCCATCTACCGCCACCTCCTCTCACCTCCTTTCATATTTATAGGCGCCTCAACAAGTGCATCTCTTCTATCCCTTCTTCTGCCGTGTCCTTGATTCTCCCTTCCACCCCTGGTCCCAACCAGAGATCATCTCTGGAGTGCAAGCCATCTACCACCACCTCCTCTCGCCTCCTGATGGGTGCTCTCACACGCCCCAGGTCACCTGCCTTTCCCATCCTCCTCTCGTTTCTCTTTCCTTCCCCCGTTCCCACCCCAGATTACCTGCCTTTCCCACTCCAGGCCCCAGCCAAAGGTCATCCTTTGAGTGCAAGCCATCTACCACCACCTCCTCCCCCTCCTTTCGTATTATAATTGCCTCAACAAAAGCGATCTAATTTATTCCTTCTGTCTTTCTCCTTTGCCTCTCCCCTCCCAACCCCAGGCCCCAGCCAGAGGTCATCTTTCGAGTCCAAGCCATCTACCACCACCTCCTCTCCCCGCCCCCCTCCTCCCCTCCTCACACACACTCCCCCTTCCGCCCATCCCACCCGCACCCCTCCTTCGGCCCTTCGAACCGAGGCGTGGTGGTGGTGGGGGTGCACATAAGAGCGGGGGACACAATGGTATGGGAGGGCGAGTGGGGGTTCGGAGATCCCAAGGCTCTCAACGCCACTCAGATGGATGTGCTTCTATCATGGGCTGAGCAATACATATCGTGTGCCAAGGTGTGTGTTGGGAATGGGCGTGGGTGTGGGCTAAGGTGGGGGGTTTAGGGGTGGTGGTGGGGGTGCACATACGAGCGGGGGACACGATGGTAATGGAGGGCGAGTGGGGGTTCGGAGATCCCAAGGCGTTGAACGCCACTCAAATGGAGGTACTGCTGTCGTGGGCTGATCAGTACATATCATGTGCCAAGGTGGGTCCTCGTTCCCCTCCTCCCTCCCCTTCTCCCCTCTTCCCTCCCCTCCTCCCCTCCTCCTCTTCCCCTCCTCCTCTTCCTCTCCTCACACGCTCTTTCTTTATGCCAACCCCTCCTTGGCGTGCTCAATCGAGGCGTGGTGGTGGTGGGGGTGCACATTAGAGCGGGGGTTTGGTGACCCTAAGGCTCTTAACGCCACTCAAATGGATGTTTTGCTTAAGTGGGCTGACCAATACATATCATGTGCCAAGGTGAGACTGGGCCAAGGTGGGGGGGGTGGTGGTGGCCGTGGGGGTGCACATAAGAGCGGGGGACACGGTGGTGTGGGAGGGCGAGAAGGAGTTTGGAGATCCCAAGGCGCTCAATGCGACTCAGATGGATGTGCTTCTGTCATGCAACCTTAAACCCTAAACCTTAATACATTTCATGTGCCAAGCAAAAACCTACAAACATAGAAGCAAACAAACAAAGAAAAATAAGAGCCCAAAGAAAGAAAGAAAGAAAATGGATGTCATGTGCATGCATCATAGCATCCCCCCTCCATTCTCGATTCACAAAACCCAACACCAGTTTACGTCACACCTGCTCTGTCCTCTTATCTCTCCCCGCCTCCTCCCTTTCCCCCACAACGCCATCCGCACAGGCACTGGAGTCATGGTGGGTGCCCTCCCCACCCTACGAGGTGCATTTTTTAGATGTCTAAAAAATTCACTTTGTACACGTGGCATCCACACAGGCACTGGAGGAGTGGTGGGTGCCCTCGCCACCCTACGAGGTGCGCTGGCTCGTGGTCACAAACTCCCTGCCATTCACACCACTCTCTGGTGCTCACACCCGTCTTCTTCCACCCTATCTTCCACCCCCCTGTCGTCCATCCACACAGGCATTAGAGGAGTGGTGGGTGCCCTCGCCACCCTACGAGGTGCGCTGGCTCGTCGTCACCAACTCCTTACCGCTCAAGACCGCCCTCTGGCTCAAATACCCCCACAGGGTATGCACTCTTCCGCCTATCTCCCTCATGCTTTCTCCATATATCTCTCTACACCTGTCGCTGGCTGGTTGTCACCAACTCCCTGCCGCTCAAGACCGCCCTCTGGCTCAAATACCCCCACAGGGTATGCACTCTTCCTCCTCCCCTCGCTCTCGTCGTCTCCCTCATGCTTTCTCCATTTACTTCTCTGCACCTGTCGCCACTCAAGACCGCCCTCTGGCTCAAATACCCCCACAGAGTATGTTCTCCTCCTCCTCCCCTCGCTCTCTTCGTCTCCCTCATGCTTTCTCCATTTACTTCTCTGCACCTGTCGCTACTCAAGACCGCCCTCTGGCTCAAATACCCCCACAGGGTACGCACTCCTTCTGCCCTCTCTGCCCCTTTCACTCCACTTTCTCACTCTATGCTCTCAATTCCCACACTCACTCCACACCCTCACTCCCCACTTTCGCTCTCACCCTTCTCTTCCCTTCTTGGCACCAATGTGTCCCACTATTGCCATCCTTGGTTGTGGCACAGGTGGTGGTATCAAACATTGTCCCTCGCAACGTCAATGCCCTAACATCATCCCACGACCCCACACCCACTGACATCCTGCTTCTGCGTGCCTCTCCTTCCTCCTTCCTGTGTGGCACAGGTGGTGGTATCAGACATTGTCCCTCGCCACGTCAACACCCTGACATCTTGCCTCCTGCTTGCTTCTCCTTCCTCTCTCGTCTGCCACAGGTGGTGGTATCAGACATTGTCCCTCGCCACGTCAACACCCTAACATCATCTCAAGACCCCCCACTCCTTCACACACACCCTCCCTCATCGCAAGATGTTTTGCCAGCTCACTTCACTCCGGAAGAAGGGGCTTCCACATACATTGACATTGTAACGGAATGGCTGCTTCTAGCGTCGAGTGACGCGCTTATTTTGACCAAATCGGGATTTTCGCACACCGCCGCGTTTTTTTCGCATCGCCTGGCTGCTGTTTATGTTCCGGAAGAATGTGACCCCGAGGCTTTTGTGCCGACGCGTAGAATAGGAAGAATATGGAGCGGGATATGATTATTTCAATGTATCTTGTGATTAACCAGTCTATCATACAACATATCTGCTTATTATATCCCGAGCAGTTCGCATCCATTCTGTTCGGTAATCTATTTTAACAGGACGTGCTGTTGCGGGTACCGGTGATAGTTCCCGCTCTCATTTGAAGTTCCCTCGAAACGCGCCCGCACACATCATCACTTGCCGCTGGCAACTCGTCACGTGGTAGTCACCTAGACTTCTCATTACCGTTCCCTCGCCTCTTGCTCGTAACCACGTCTCCAGTCGATTGCGCATTATGCGCTTGTGCGCGCGGCTCTTATCGCGTACAGGTCTAATCTACGCGGGCACCTCGCAGCGTCAAGTTCTACCGATGATCGGGACTGCCTCGAGCAATCTCAGCCGTTCGTTCTCGTCCACCCGCGTTACCAGCCGTGCCACCCCCAAGGCCAACATTGTCTCTAGAATATCCCCGACAGGAGGGTGCTTCGTTATAAGTTCACTCCGGAAGAAGGGGCTTCCACATACATTGACATTGTAACGGAATGGCTGCTTCTAGCGTCGAGTGACGCGCTTATTTTGACCAAATCGGGATTTTCGCACACCGCCGCGTTTTTTTCGCATCGCCTGGCTGCTGTTTATGTTCCGGAAGAATGTGACCCCGAGGCTTTTGTGCCGACGCGTAGAATAGGAAGAATATGGAGCGGGATATGATTATTTCAATGTATCTTGTGATTAACCAGTCTATCATACAACATATCTGCTTATTATATCCCGAGCAGTTCGCATCCATTCTGTTCGGTAATCTATTTTAACAGGACGTGCTGTTGCGGGTACCGGTGATAGTTCCCGCTCTCATTTGAAGTTCCCTCGAAACGCGCCCGCACACATCATCACTTGCCGCTGGCAACTCGTCACGTGGTAGTCACCTAGACTTCTCATTACCGTTCCCTCGCCTCTTGCTCGTAACCACGTCTCCAGTCGATTGCGCATTATGCGCTTGTGCGCGCGGCTCTTATCGCGTACAGGTCTAATCTACGCGGGCACCTCGCAGCGTCAAGTTCTACCGATGATCGGGACTGCCTCGAGCAATCTCAGCCGTTCGTTCTCGTCCACCCGCGTTACCAGCCGTGCCACCCCCAAGGCCAACATTGTCTCTAGAATATCCCCGACAGGAGGGTGCTTCGTTATAAGTTCTTCCACGCGACGTATAAAGCCTCTACATTCTGCTAGCAGTGGGTTCGCTACTTATCAACGCCGCACGTCCGCAGCTGGCCACGTCATCGGATCCACGTCATCCGGGTCAAGCGACAGCAGAAAGATGACGTTTGCCAGCTCAGCGCAGCCGATGCTGACTCAACAGGCTGGAACCGCTACGAACGAGGCTTTAAGGGCGGAACAGGGTTTAAGAGCGGCTGAAGGGTTGGGAGAATCAACGCCTGTAAACTCAGGAGAGGGAGAGGGTTTAAGAGAAATGGAGGCTCCAGATGCTCCGAATGGGCCGGGAGATTCGACGCGGGTGAGAGAACCAGTGGGGGGGATAAGCGCTGGCGGAACCCCCGAAATGGGCGGAACTCCCTCGACAGGCGCGTCTGCCGCAGTGGGCGCGCGCAGGCGCCATCTAGAGCAGGTGCTGCGCGCCGAGCTGCCGTGGATGGGGGGAGCACTAGACCCCCTGGTGGTGCGGATCATGCGCGAAGTGGTGGAGATAGAGGAGGGGATGCGTGCGGGGGAGGGAGGGGGCCGGGCGGAAGAGGGTGCTTTACAGGCGTCTCAAGGGATCATGCGCGAAGTGGTGGAGATTGAAGAGGGGATGAGAGAGGGCGAGGGCGTGAGGGAGGAAGGGGGAAGAGTGGAAGGGAGAGGAGCGGAGGAAGTGAAGGGGGGAGAAGGGCGAGGAGAGGAAGGGGGGGTTGAGCGGGAGAGGAGGGAAGGCGAGCGGGGGGAGAGTGGAGGGCCGGGGGAAGAGGGACTGCGTAGGGACGATGGGAAAGACGAGGAGGATGCAGCAGAGGATGAGGACGACGGTTACTTAGACGAGGTACGGTACGGTTGGATGCGGTACACTTGAAGGTTAACCGTTTTCTTTCCTTTTCTTTACTCCTCGCTCACTCCTCATCTCGCCCACCCACGCACTCTCTCCTTCCCCGCCCGCCCTCCCTTCCCCCTCCCCTCGTTTCACCCCTCTCGCTTCTCAACGCTCCCATTCCCCACCCTGTCGTTTTCATATCCCAGGAGCAGAGGCCATAGATGGTTTTTTTAATCTTCTCAAAACAATCAGAAGCAGAGGCCATAGAGGCGTGGTTCCACGTGGCGTACCTGAGCTGAGAGAGGTAGAGGGCGCTCCTTACCTCTCATGGTAGAGGGCGCTCCTTACCTCTCATGGTAGAGGGCGCTCCTTACCTCTCATGGTAGAGGGCGCTCCTTACCTCTCATGGTAGAGGGCGCTCCTTACCTCTCATGGTAGAGGGCGCTCCTTACCTCTCACCACCATCCCTCTCCTTATTCAACTTCCCAATTTCCTTCCACCTCCACCCCTCCACTACAGAGCCCAGGAGCGGAGGCCTTAGAGGCGTGGTTCCGCGTGGCTTACCTGAGCCGCGAGAGGAAGCGGGCGGACGGGGAGGGCTGCTTGCGCGCCTTTGCTGCTCGGCAGATGGCGGTGAAGCTGATTACTGCTTATAGAGGGGCGTGCAGACAGGTGAGTTGGTGTGGTGTGGTTGGGTGCGGTGCGGTGTGGTGTGGTGTGGTGTATGTTGCAGTAAACACAGCCCATGGCGGGCGGGGAGGGTTTTTTGCGTGCCTTTGCTGCTCGGCAGATGGTTGTGAAGCTCATCACAGCGTATAGAGGGGCGTGCAGAGAGGTGAGTGGGTGTGGATGGGTTGGGGGGGTGTGCTGTGCGGTGCGAGAAGGTTCGGTACGGTAATGTGTGGCGACTCACTCAGACGTCCCTATGCCTTTGCTCCTTAGCGGGGTGAAGCTCATCACCGCGTATAAATGTGGGCGTGCAGAGAGGTGGGCACGTGATGAACGAGTGTGTTTTGAGTCGTCTCAAAACAAACTTGTTATGACGGTGCGTGCAGAGAGGTGGGTGGGTGTGCTGTGGTGTGGTGTGGTGTATGCTGCAGTTGCCGTCTCATGGGCAGACGGGGGAGAGCTGTTTGCACGCCTGTTAAGAGGTGTCGCCCAGCCCAACCCCTCACAACCCATCAGGTGTCGTTTTCAGACTCCACCCGCCATCCTCCCTCCTGGCAGTGCTGATTATGACGGGTGAATCGCACCGCACATGTCATGTCACAATGTGTCACCCTACCCCCTCTTCCAGTTCCAACTGTATCGACTCAAAAACTACCAACCACAGGTGAACTGCTCCGCACATGCCACAAGGTGCCCAGTTCCTTCCTCCCCAGTGATAAAAGCTGGGTTTTGAGACGTCTCGAAACCCAACCTTTATCAAGTTCCAACTGTGATTTGACTTTTGAGTCGACTCAAAACCCAGCCTTTATCAAGTTCCAACTTTGATTTTTTAGTCGACTGAAAAACTACCACAGGTGAACCGCACCACACATGCCACAAGGTGCCCATTCGTCCCCCAGTCCGGTTCCAGCCCATGAGGTGTCTTATGGATTGCACCGACCGGCACCGTTCTTTTTTATCCACCCCTCCCTCCGTGGCGGCAGTGCTGGTTACCACGACGGGACTGCACGTGTGACGAGGCTTACAACCCAGCCTCTTACCCTGAGACTCTTCCTCATCTCCCTCTTCCCCCCACCAAACCACCCTGCTCCCGGCAGTGCTGGTTACCACGAGGGGACTGCACGTGTGACGAGGTCTCGCCCAACCCCTCCCTGCTGAGCAACGTGGTCATCTGGCTTTACATGCACCCCAAGGTGAGCAGAGTTCCCCCCCTTCCTGTACTCGTTATAGTCAGATTCAAAGCCTTGCGTATTGTTGCTGAGCGACGTGGTCATCTGGTTTTACATGCACCCCAAGGTGAGTAGAGCCCCCTTCCCCTCCAAGCCCCCCATGTACTCGTTATAGTCAGATTCAAAGGCGTGTATTGTTTGGCGATGTTTGTGGCACCTCACTCCCTCTGTCTCGCACCTGCAGGACTTTCTGTGGCGCAACACAGAAAGTCCTGTGTTGTTTGGCGATACACGCACCCTAAGGTGTTGTTTGGCGATACACGCACCCTAAGGTGTTGTTTGGCGATACACGCACCCTAAGGTGTTGTTTGGCGATACACGCACCCTAAGGTGTTGTTTGGCGATACACGCACCCTAAGGTGTTGTTTGGCGATACACGCACCCTAAGGTGATGTTTGGCGATACACGCACCCTAAGGTGTTGTTTGGCGATACACGCACCCTAAGGTGTTGTTTGGCGATACACGCACCCTAAGGAGTTGTTTGGCGATACACGCACCCTAAGGTGATGTTTGGCGATACACGCACCATAAGGTGTTGTTTGGCGATACACGCACCCTAAGGTGTTGTTTGGCGATACACGCACCCTAAGGTGATGTTTGGCGATACACGCACCCTAAGGTGTTGTTTGGCGATACACGCACCCTAAGGTGATGTTTGGCGATACACGCACCCTAAGGTGTTGTTTGGCGATACACGCACCCTAAGGTGTTGTTTGGCGATACACGCACCCTAAGGTGTTGTTTGGCGATACACGCACCCTAAGGTGTTGTTTGGCGATACACGCACCCTAAGGTGATGTTGGGCGATGTTTCTGGGCAAGCTGCTGTGGCAGGTGGGGAGGGGTGAGCACCCCACTATTCCCTCTTTGCTCCTCATGCTTACTCCCTCACTAATTCCACCCTCGCATCCCTCCCTTCCGGTCTCCCTCTTCTATGTTTCACTCCCCCTGTCTCAAACCTGCAGGACATTCTGCGTCGCAACAACACGGGCAAGCTGCTGTGGCAGGTGCTGGGGGTGAGCACCCCACTATCCCTCCTTGCTCATCTTTCTTTGACTCCCTTCCCGCCCCCCATTCCTCTCCTCCTCGCACCTTCAGGACTAACTGCGCCGCAACAACACGGGCAAGCTGCTGTGGCAGGCAGGTGGTGGGTGCGCCACACCCCTGTATCCCACACAACCGCACTGTTTGCACACCCCTCTATAACCCCATGCTCACAGGACTAACTGCGCCGCAACAACACGGGCAAGCTGTTGTGGCAGGCAGGTGCTGGGTGCGCCACACCCCTTTTTCCCATTCAACCATACTGCACTGCTTCCTCCTTTCTCGTCACCCACCCCTCCTCCCATGCTCTCAGGACTTTCTGCGCCGCAACAACACGGGCAAGCTGCTGTGGCAGGTGCTGGGTGGCGAGAGTGCGCGGCTGTGTGTGTTTGGCATCAACGCACATGAGGAGCGAATGTGGGATGAGCTGAAGCAAGCAGGTGAGATGAGATGGCTGCTTTGTGTGAGGGGGGTTGTGGGCGTCACCGTGCTAGCTCAGTTCGGCTGCATGTGCATGAGGTGGCAGGTGCTGGGGGGAGAGAAAGAGAGTGCCCGGCTGTGTGTGTTTGGCATCAACGCTCATGAGGAGCGCATGTGGGATGAACTGAAGCAAGCAGGTGAGCTTGGCTCAGCTGTGTGTGCTTGGGGTGGCAGGTGCTGGGGGCGAGAAAGAGAGTGCTCGGCTGTGTGTGTTTGGCATCAACTCTCATGAGGAGTGCATGTTGGCTGAACTGCAGCGAGCAGGTGAGTGTGATGGTCTGATGCAGGGGTTTGGAGGAGGGCCTTGGAACAGGTGAGGGGCGGGAAATTAGTGACCCCGGCTGCTGTGGCAGGTGGTGGGGGACGAGAGTGCTCGGCTGTGTGTGTGTGGCATCAACGCACACGAGGAGTGCATGTGGGATGAGCTGAAACCCTACACTACCCTGTTCATCTCCCCCCTCCCCCCACCAGGCCGTGTGGTGTGTGTACCCCGCCTCCTCTCCTACCCACCCCTGATACCAATATCACTTGGACAACAGGTCTACTCATCAGGTCCCTAACATGCAACACCATCCATTTCTGTCTCCCACACACCACACCATCCCCCACCAGGTCCTGAGTCCGTGTGGTGTGTGTACCCCGCCTCCTCTCCTCCCCCTGATACCGTGTCATCCATGCACCTCCCCTCCTCCTTCTCCTCCTCCTCCTCGTCCTCCCCAGCGTGTAAGAAGCAGAGACACATTGAGTCTCACCAATGCACCACCACTGCTGCTGATGGCACTAGTAGTGCTGCTGCTGATTTGGGGGCAGCAGCAGCAGAGGCAGCAGAACCAGTAGCAGCAGCAGCAGCACCAGAGGCATCAGAGGCAGCAGGGGAGGTAGCAGGCAATGGGGGTGTGGCATTGGGAGCAGCGGTAGCAGACACCACAGCGCCTCCAGCTTCATCTTCATCTCCTCCGCTTCACTTCATTCTGATTGACGGCACGTGGAGCAACTCCAAGGCCATGACAGCACGACTCAAGGTGAGTGCATTGGAAGCAGTGCCACCGGGGACATGCACTGCAATGCCTGCATCGCTGTTGCATTCATCTTCATCTTCTCCGCTTCACTTCATTCTCATTGACGGCACGTGGAGCAACTCCAAGGCCATGACTGCCAGACTCAAGGTGCGTGGTGTCGTGTGCAGCGACCGGCACTGCACCACATGCATGCGTGCGTCGTCACCGTCGGTGTCATCACCGCTTCACTTCATTCTGATCGACGGCACATGGAGTAACTCCAAGGCCATGACTGCCAGACTCAAGGTGGGTGTCGTGTGTAGCGACCGGCACTGCACCACATGCATGCATCATCATCATCTGCGTTTCCACCCCTTCTCTTCATTCTGATTGACAGCACATGGAGTAACTCCAAGGCCATTACTGCCCGGCTTAAGGTGCGTGGCGTATGTGGTGCTGGCCTCGTTTAGAGTTGCAAGTGCTGTGGAAGCAGGGGAAGTCGGGGGAGGGGGGGAGGGGGGCAGAATGGGGTTGGAGAGGAGGTTGAGTGTGTTGGGCGGCACGTGGAGCAACTCCAAGGCCATGACCGCGCAGCTCAAGGTGAGATTTGTGTGAAGGCCAGGGATTGAAGTGAAGGGCTTTTCGTGAAGGACCCAGAGGGTGTTTTTGTACACTTTACTTGAGTGCACGTGGAGCAACTCCAAGGCCATGACTGCCAGACTCAAGGTGCGTGGCGTATGTGGTGCTGGCAGCGTTTAGAGTTGCAAGTGCTGTGGAAAAGGGGTGTGCAGGGGGGCTGCTTCACTTCATTCTGATTGATGGCACGTGGAGTAACTCCAAGGCCATGACTGCCAGACTCAAGGTGCGTGGCATATGTGGTGCTGTGGAAAAGGGGTGTGCAGGGGGGCTGCTTCACTTCATTCTCATCGACGGCACGTGGAGCAACTCCAAGGCCATGACTGCGCGGCTCAAGGTGAGATGCATGCCTATTTTGCCAGTGCTATTATGTGGCCTTTCTTTTGTTCCATGTGCGTGTGTTTTTTTTATGACCTGTTCTCATAGAGTGCATGTGACTGACATGCTCTTTAGAAGGTTTTCGCATGTGTACGTCACGAAAAGGCTTGAAGTGATTGCATCTCGCTTTGACGGTTTTGTTTTCTGAGCAGGAAGCAGCACACAGAGCATGGGATGGGAGGGACTTGCCGTTCCTGTCGTTGCAACCGCCACAGCCATCAGTCATGCACGGTCTCAGGTGATTCTCTTCTTTTGAGACATCTCAAAAGAACTTGCCTTTCCTGTCCTTGCAACCGCCACAGCCATTGGCCGTGCATGAACTCAGGTGATGCCCGCTTGCCTTCAGGTGATGCCGCTCGCTTTCAGGTGATTTCTGTTTGCCTTCAGGTGATTCTTGGTTGCGTTCAGGTAATTCTCCATTGCTTTCAGGTATTACTTGCTATGAAAAAATAGTGTACCTTCATTTACTCCCAGTTCTGCTCCTCTGCATGTTTTCGCACTTTAACATCCGCACTGGAGGTTTGGGTATAGATATGTGATTCGTTGAAATACGTGTTGTTCTGTTATCACTGAAAATAGCATGTTCTTGCTCACTGCACCACCCCATCTCCTTGAATCGCATACCAGGCCTCAACCAGCAGAAGACAAGACGTGCACAGCAGCAGCCGCATCGAGCCTTTTGCGTGAGCTCAGCGAAAGGGAGGAGATGGATAAGGAGCAGTTATCAAAAGCAGCAGATGCCATCGACAATGCGTTGCTGTGTCTGCTTGACGCTCTCACGGACCGAAGGAGGAGGTCCGGGAGACCCGGTCTGAGGCTTGGCTTGGGCCGAAATGCAAGACCATTTTGAAACAGGATTATAGGTTGGAGGAGCTGGATGGGTGCCGTTTGTTTGTACAGGGTTTTGTTTGTTTCTTAGGAGTAGCATGTTCACTTGCCATTCTTTTGCATGACTCAGCTCCTCTGCAAAACCTTCAGCTTATGACGCGTAGTTAAATCATGAATGACCTCCAGCATGAATGGCGAGGCGACAACCCAAGGGTTCCGCAATTCGAAGCCGGTAACCACGGTCTTCGAAACCGAGTTTACCCGTGACGGTTTTCGCAAGTGTTAGGGCGAACAAAGTGCCTCTGGGATTCGTCAGCCAAAATAGCAACTCGGGTTACCTCTCCCGCAAAGTGCAATCCACTGCCCACACGCGGACACCACCCTATCATCCCATCGTGACAGAATTTCGAGACAATTTCGAGACAGAGATTCATGTCTTGCATTTCTGGGCCCAGTTCGGCAGCCAGGGGGAAGAAAAATGTTAGGAAGATGAGGAGAAGGTGAGGCGTGCGTCAACCCAGGGTCAACGAATTTTGACCCTGGTTTGACCGCACCACGGACAACCTGCGCCATGGGGGAGCCGGCGCAGGTTGGAGGGGGGAGATAGGAAAAAATGCCGCAGGTCGAGGCACATTTGCCCTCACATTCGAATGTCCCAGAGCACTGTAGCAAAGCGAAAATTATCGCCCAAAAAAAAATCCCATGCACATTTGCCCTCGAGTAGGATTCTTTTGTGCAGTAACCCTTTATTTCATAGGGTGCAATGTTGTCCCGTGAACAGTGATTCTTGTGGAATCAAAAAAGTTGATTCTTCTGTTTCCAAAGAATCACTTTCTTCTTCCGTCTCACTAGGGCGGAAGCTTTCCGCCAGGGGGGGGAGAATAAGGACAGAAGACGGCGCAGAATCAATTTTTGATGGTGTACGCGTCGCTGCTGTAAAACACCTGCGCCTCGATTTCCGAAGATTTTACCCTACAACCCGCACTGTAGAGCCCTCGATAATGCGATTGGAAGCTTCATAGAAGAAGCCAGAAATTTTTATTCCGTCTTTCTTCCGTGGCTGCCGAACTGGGCCCTGAAATAAATCTCAAATTGACACGACATTAGCTCATTACGCAGCATCCGCATCCTCATTGCCACACACTTTCTAGGCTCCGTCACTTCCAAGTCCATTCGTTCTGTAGTGACAGATCCCAGGCCGAAACCTTTCTGTCCCGTCAACCAGAGAGACTAGGGGGATCGACTCCCTGATAGCCTGCCGCGATGGCCCGAGCCTTCCTTACTCTCGTTAGTAGCGCTAGTCAAACCTTCAGCTTCCTAGTCTGGTTCCTCCTACTCGACATAGCGTTTACTGCAGGTAGGTTCGTCATCTCTCCTAGCCTGTTTTTCGGCGGTTTTTCTCCACCTTTCCTCCTGCTACTGCTCCTATTTTTTCCTTTGTTTGTTTCGAGTTCCCCATCTCCCTCTGTTTCGTCTTCACAAAAGCTTATAACCAACCTCGTCCGGGCAGTCTCAAAGCGTTCGCCTCCCTTCTTCACTCGACGCCAGCGTGGTCTGCAGGTAAGTGTTTCGTTTCCTGTTTCGTTTCCTTTTTCTGCAGTGTTAACGGCCCTCTTCCTCACAGTTCACCACACTTTGGCTTTCGACTTCGCCATCCCTTCCTGTCAAAGCATATGCTTGTTATACATGTGTAGGCTGTAGTGGGGTAGCCAATATGGGGTACAGCCCTTTTTAGGGTTTCATACTTGTACCCACCTCTTTCATAGTTCATTCATTCCTGCTACTAGATTCTGACATGGTTTCAGAGCAGTAGGTCCGTAGGACCGTTTTTTTTTTTTTTTTTTTTTTTTTCGGGCCCACCTACCGCTACCCCACGACTGTGACTGTGACTGTGCCTGTGACGTGCTGCGCTGCGCGCGCCGTCTGCCTGCTGCCTACTGTCTGCTGACTGCGCGGTCTGCTGCTGCTTAGAGCGCGCAGTCCTAATTCCTGCGCGCGGCTTGATTTTTGCCCCACGCGTCGCCCACGCTGCCCGAGTCGCGCCTCGGCAGCCCGCGCGCGGCTCGCTGCAGCCCCGCGCGTCGCGACCGCTGCCTGCGCGTCGTGCTGCAGCCCCGCGCGCCGCGCCCGCTGCCCGCGCGTCGCGCTGCAGCCCCGCGCGTCGCGACCACTGCCCGCGCGTCGCGCTGCAGCCCCGCGCGTCGCGGCTGCCGCCCGCGCGTCGCGCTGCAGCCCTGCGCGCCGCGGCTGCCGTCCTCGCGCGCCCTGCCGTCGTCCTGCTTCTGACGCGGCCGCACCCTGCCGCCGACGCGTCCCCGCCCGGACGCTGCCACGGCCCCGACCTGCCGCTGACACGGCCCCGCCCTGCAGCTGCCGCGGCCCCGACCTGCCCCTGACGCGGCCCCGCCCTGCAGCTGTCGCGGCCCTACTCTGCAGCCGCTGCTACGGCCCCGCTATTGCCGCCGTCATGCGCCTACCCTGCCGCCGCCCGCCGAGCGCCGGCCCTGCCCGCCACTGGTGAGCACCTGCCTTGTTCGCGCACTGCCGCGCCCTCTGCCTGCCTGTCTACCTGCCTGCCTGCCTGCCGCCCCTGCCGCGCCTGCCCTGCCCGAGCTGCTGCTGATACTATTGCTACTGTTGCTACTGGCGGTGGCCAGATGCAGCTCCAGTAACGTCCGCGCGAGTCTCTCACGCCTCAACAGCTTCGTGAGTGGTACGCTAGTTGGGGTTGTGGCGGTAGCCATCGTGGCTGTCGCCCTGGAGCTGGTCGGTCGGGAGCGTCTGGCAGTGGCCAGCTGCAGCTGCAGCGGCGTCCGCGCGAGACACTTACGTCCCGGCAGCTTCACGAGTGGTACGCTCAGAGTCGAGGGTCTCGGAGTACCGTTCGCTGCCCGTACGTCCTTCGCACAGGTGCTCGGGCTGGTCAGGCTTGCGGGATTGGTCACACCCAGTCCCGCTGCTTCGCCCGTCTGAGCGACGCCTGCCGTACCGAGTTTGGCGACGAGGCTGAGCTCCCCACCTGGCTGGAGCTGCTTGGGCAGAGGGTAGATATCTTTGCTCTTGACTATGATGATATTCTCACTGCCATGTATGCATTGCCTACTAGTGATGACCGTGCCTGTTCCCTGTGCGTACCGCCTGACCCCGGTATAGAGCCTGCTGCCCTAGGTGCTGGTGAGGCTGCTGCTCTAGGTGCTAGTGCGTCTCCTGCGCTAGGTGCTGGTGAGGCTGCTGCTCTAGGTGCTAGTGCGTCTCCTGCTCTAGGTACTGATGAGGCTGCTGCTCCAGGTGCTGGTGAGTCTGCTCTCTCTTGTACTGCGCCTGCTGAGGCCGTGTACACCTTCACACTTGACTCAGGTGCTTCCCGCTCCTTCTTTCGCGACAGCACCACACTCACGCCGCTCCGTCGGCCGGTTGCAGTCTCCCTGGCAGACCCCTCTGGGGGTCCAGTCCTTGCGCACTCCTCCACGGTCCTGCCGTGTCCGGCGGTCCCGTCTGGCTCCCTGTCAGGTCTTCACCTCCCCTCGTTCTCTACGAACTTGGTGAGTGGAGCTGACTTACAGGATGTGTGGGTTGACCAGTTCACCCCTGGAGGTCAGCGTGTGACACACTGTACGTGCTCCCGTACTGGTCGGCACCTGGCCACGTTCACCCGAGAGCCTGGCTCGTGTCTGTACACACTCACCACTGTGTCCCCTCAGGTAGCTGCATCTGCGTCTGCGTTTGCGTCAGGTCAGCTAGCAGCCCCCTGCTCGTGTCGCGCTCTGTCGCACCAGACCCTCCTTTGGCACCACCGCCTTGGTCACCCCTCGGTGCAGCGCCTTCGTAGCATGCACCGCCGTTTCCTTGTCTCTGGACTTCCAGAGACTCTGCCTCCTCTACCACCCTCGCCTGCTCCTCCCTGTCTTCCCTGTGTCGTGGGGCGGCAGCGCGCCGCTCCTCACTCCTCCTCGTTCCCTCCCACAGAGGCTCCCTTGCAGACTCTCCACCTGGACGTGTGGGGCCCAGCCCGCGTCCGTGGACAGGGCCACGAGCGGTACTTCCTGCTGGTCGTCGACAACTACACGCGTTATACCACGGTCTTCCCCTTGCAGCGCAAGGGGGATGTCCCTGATGTTTTGATCCCCTGGATCCGCGCTGTTCGTCTCCAGCTCCGCCAGCGGTTCCAGTCGGACTTTCCTGTCCTGCGTCTACACTCTGACAGAGGTGGTGAGTTCTCCTCAGACCTCTTGGCAGCCTACTGTGCGGAGCACGGCATCCGCCAGACGTTCACGCTTCCGGCCTCTCCGCAGCAGAATGGGGTTGCTGAGCGCCGCATTGGCTTAGTCATGGAGGTCGCTCGTACCTCCATGATCCATGCGGCTGCCCCCCATTTTCTGTGGCCGTTTGCGGTCCGGTACGCTGCGCATCAGCTCAACCTCTGGCCCCGTGTCTCCTTGCCGGAGACCTCGCCCACACTGCTGTGGACGGAGAAGGTTGGCGATGCGTCGCGTTTCCGGGTCTGGGGTGCTCGTGCCTTTGTCCGCGATACCACCGCGGACAAGCTCTCCGCCCGCGCTGTTCCCTGTGTCTTCCTTGGCTTTGTCCCTGACGCGCCTGGCTTGCAGTTTTACCACCCCACCTCGCGTCGTGTCTTCCCCTCTCAGGACGTCACGTTCGACGAGTCGGTTCCCTTTTACCGTCTCTTCCCCTACCGCACTGCCCCTCTCCCCCCCCCGCCGCTCTTCCTCGCTCCAAGTGCTCCCCAGGTAGACCCCCTCCCCGCTCCCGGTCCTGCTCCTTCAGGTGTGTCTCAGGTAGACCCTCCTCCCTTGCCAGTTGAGGTCACTGGTGACTCGGGTGCTGCTTCTGGGGGTGCTGAGCCTGGGGGTGCGGAGCCTGGGGGTGCGGAGCCTGGGGGTGCTGAGCCTGGGGGTGCTGAGCCTGGGGGTGCGGAGCCTGGAGGTGCGGAGCCTGGGAGTGCGGAGACTGGAGGTGCTGAGCCTGGGTGTGAGGAGTCTGGGGGTGCTGAGCCTGGGGGCGCTGAGGCGTTTGGTGAGCAGTCTCCCTGGAGCGGCCGTCTCCGTAGTCGCTCCGCTGGTGCCTCGCCGCTGCTGGAGCTAGGGGCCCTGCTGCGGGAGGCGCTGGCGCTGGTGACTCTGCCACTGGAGTTGTTTCTGCTGGAGGTTCTGGAGCTGCTGGAGGTGCTGGCGCTGGTGGCGCTGGAGCTGGAGGTTCTGGAGCTGCTGAGGGAGCTGGCGCTGAGGGTTCTGGAGCTGCTGGAGGTGATGGCGCTGGTGGCGCTGGAGCTGGAGGTCCTGGAGCTGCTGAGGGTGCTGGCGCTGGAGGTTCTGGAGCTGCTGGAGGTACTGGCGCTGGTCGCGCTGGAGCTGGAGGTTCTGGAGCTGCTGAGGGTGCTGGCGCTGGAGGTTCTGAGTCTGCTGTTGCGCGGTTTCCTTGGAGTAGCCGCCTTCGTCCGCGTGTGCCTCTCACCTCGCAGCAGCTGCACGACTGGTACGGTCGCCGTCAGGGTCGCGCTTCTGGAGCTCAGGGCTCTGCCGCTGGAGGTACTTCTGCTGTCGTCACTGGAGCTGAGAGTGGTGCTGGTCCCGGAGGTGCTCGTACTGGAGGTACTGGAGCTGCTGGGGCTGGAGGTGCTGAGCCTGAGGGTGCTGCTGCTGGAGGCACTGAGGCTGGAGACCCTGGGACTGGAGGTGCCGGTTCTGGGGGTGCTGCTGTTGGTGGAGCTGGTCCTCGAGGAGCTGGCGCTGAGGGTTCTGGAGCTGCTGGAGGTGCTAGCGCTGGTGGCGCTGGAGCTGGAGGTTCTGGAGCTGCTGAGGGTGCTGGCGCTGGAGGTTCTAGAGCTGCTGGAGGTACTGGTGCTGGTCGCGCTGGAGCTGGAGGTTCTGGAGCTGCTGAGGGTGCTGGCGCTGGAGGTTCTGGAGCTGCTGGAGGTGCTGGAGCTGCTGGGGGTACTGGAGCTGCTGGTGCTGGTGTCACTGCACAGCCGCGCCTGTTCTTCGCTCCACCGTCTCCGTCGACTCAGCCACCGCCTGACTCTGTGCTTCGCCAGGTTCTTAGTCTCCCTTCGTCTACTGGTCTTCCGTTACAGCCTGGCTCACTGCTGCCTGCTCCTTCTCCTTACACTGAGCAGCTAGGGGGTCTTACTGAGCGTCGTGAGCCTGCGTCACGTCCTGTCTCGCCTGTCTGTTCTGGTCGTTCCGGTCGTCGTGTTCCTCGTCCGCGTCTGCCGGCTGTCCCCGACACCCACCTCGTAGTCCGTCGTCCTTCCTCTCCTCCGCAGCGTGTTCCTCTGCCGTCCCCTCCTGCGTCTTCTCTGCCTGTCGTTGCGGACCCCGAGTCTGACCGGTTTCGTGCTGAGCACCCTACTGTCACGCGTCTGCTAGCCACTGTTGTCACTGACCCGTCGTTTGAGTCTGCTGCTACGTCTGCCTTAGTTGCTGAGCTTGTTGACTTTGCTGCCGCCTGTCGTCTAGACTACGCCGCTAGTCTTGTTGCTGAGTCTGAGTCTGTCTGTCCTCCGTCCGTCGGGGGTGAGTGTGCTCTTGGCACGGACGTCCTTGAGGACAGGCAGGAGGACCTTGAGTGTCTTGCAGCCGCTGCGCCTCATCTCGTGTCCATGCTGCTTGCCCCTGAGGGAGACCCGGATGCTCCAGACATTCCGACCCCGCGCTCTTACGCTGCGGCGATCGCGGGTGAGTACTCCTCTCAGTGGCAGACAGCCATGGACGCAGAGATGGCATCCTGGAAGTCCACAGGCACCTACGTCGACGAGGTTCCCCCACCTGGGGCGAACATCGTCAGTGGCATGTGAATTTTCAGGGTGAAGTGGCCGCCAGGTTCTCCGCCTGCCTTCAAGGCGCGTTACGTTGCACGAGGTTTCAGTCAGCGAGAGGGAGTTGACTTCTTCCAGACCTTCTCCCCCACCCCGAAGATGACCACTCTTCGGGTGCTGCTGCACGTTGCCGCTCAGCGTGACTACGAGCTTCACTCTCTTGACTTCAGCACAGCCTTCTTACAGGGCAGCCTGCACGAGGAGATCTGGCTGCGCCGCCCACCTGGCTTCACTGGGTCGTTCACTGCTGGTACCTAGTGGAGCCTCAGGCGACCGGTCTACGGTCTCTGCCAGGCGCCACGTGAGTGGCACGACACACTGAGGACGACACTTGCGGCTCTTGGGTTTGCTCCGTCGACTGCTGACCCGTCGCTGTTTCTGCGCACAGACACTTCGCTGCCGCCGTTCTACATCCTCGTGTACGTCGACGACTTGGTCTTTGCCACTGCTGACGCTGAGGCTCTCGCCCTGGTGAAGTCGGAGCTGCAGAAGAGACACACGTGCACAGACCTGGGTGAGCTGCGCAGTTACCTTGGCTTGCAGATCACCCGGGACAGAGCACGCCGCACCATCACACTGACTCAGTCACACATGGTGCAGCAGGTCCTTCAGCGCTTCGGCTTCACCTGGTCCTCGGCACAGGCCACTCCTCTGGCTACAGGTCACTCGCTCTCAGCTCCACCTTCGGACGAGTCCGTAGAGCCGATTGGTCCTTACCCAGAGCTAGTGGGCTGCCTCATGTACCTGATGACCTGCACTCGTCCTGACCTTGCGTACCCTCTTGGCCTTCTGGCTCGCTACGTGGCTCCTGGTCGGCACCGAAAGGTGCACATGGATGCTACTAAGAGGGTACTACGCTACTTGTGCAGTACATCGGGCATGGGGCTCGTGCTTGGAGGACGGAGCGACGTTGTCCTCACTGGGCACTCAGACGCTTCTTGGGTTGACGACCAGGCTACGCAGCGGTCGTCACAGGGTTACACCTTCAGCCTTGGCTCTAGTTCGGTTTCTTGGCGTTCTACACGCTCGTCTTCAGTTCTCAGCTCCAGTTGTGAGGCTGAGATCTACGCCACAGCCATGGCTGCACAGGAGTTACGCTGGCTCACCTACCTGCTGACCGACTTGGGAGAGCGGCCTCGTTCTCCTCCAGTGCTGTACGTCGACAACAAGGCCGCCATTGCCTTGTGTCAGGAGCACAGACTGGAGCACAGAACGAAGCACATCGCTCTGCGTTACTTCCTGGCTCGAGAGTTGCAGCAGCGTGGTCAGCTTCGTCTTGCTCACGTGGCCACTCGGGCCAACACTGCTGATATATTCACCAAGGCGCTTCCGTCTGGTGATCATCAGCGTTTCTGCACTCTGTTAGGCCTTGTGCCCACGTTTCCTCACTTGCTGTAGACTTTGCTTGTACTGTGATCTATATATATACCTGCATGCTTGCTCTGCTAGGTAGAGATCACTGTGCTGTTGTTGTTGCATATATACCCTTGCATGTGAACTGGCCTTGTGGCCCTTTGCTTGTGCTCAGTGTGTGTGGTGACGTTGTGATCCACCCTGAGCTTGCTTTGCTTCTCTTGCTCTCCCCCACTTTGCCTATGGGGGTGTGTCAAAGCATATGCTAGTTATACATGTGTAGGCTGTAGTGGGGTAGCCAATATGGGGTACAGCCCCTTTTAGGGTTTCATACTTGTACCCACCTCTTTCATAGTTCATTCATTCCTGCTACTAGATTCTGACACTTCCCGCACCCCTCTCCCTCTAACACAACGTGCTCCCTTGCCTCCGCCGCTAACCCTATTTTCCCCTTCCGGCTTCCCTACTCCGCAGCCCACACCCACCGATCGCCCACCTCCAACCCCCGCTCTCGGCTACTCCTCCAGGTACTTTCCCCCTTCCCCCTGGTTTGCTCTTCCCCCCCCCTGCCTTCCTTTCCCTCTTCGATTTAGTCCATACCTATGCTTCCCTCTTCCCCCACGTTTTCGAGATCGGTTTCTGCCATATCACCGTTCCCTATTTCGTTTTTGTTCCTTGCACCTCCCACCGTCGGTTGGGCTTCGCCCTAAGCTCGGAAATTCGGTTGGCCGCCTAGGCCTCCAATTTCGTTACTCGCGCTCGCGCGCATGGACCCTCTCTTGGTCCTGGATCTCGGGTTGCCACCTAGGCGCCCAGCTCCTTATCCGCCACCTTGGCACCCACCACCGCCTCAATCTCCACCGCCTTAACGGCCCCTTCAGCCACGCCTCCCCGCTTTCTCACTCCCCCGGCCTCCTGGCCCCTCCTCCCCTCCCCAGACCCGCCTGCTGCTCCAGTTCGCCCCGGCCCCCTCTTCCTCACTGGGCTCAATTTTACTCTCGCCACATCCTTCTTCCTAACCAGCTTTCCTCTTCCCCAATTTCCTCGCCTCTATCCTTCCCCCTGTCTACCCGCTCCCCTGCTTCTCCCAACCCCTTTCCAGGCCCCTCTCCCCTTCCCCCAGTTTCTCTTCGCCCTCGTCTACCTGCCCTCTCCCATCCGCGCTGTTGTAGGCTTCGTGCCTGCCAATTTTTCCCCCCCACCCAGTCTACTTCCCCTCCCCACGTCCAGGCCTTACGGATTTCCCTGCTCGCTCAAAGCCTGCCCCCGCCTAGCTATACTCCCAGCCTCCTTTCGTCTCTTCCTCTCCCTTCCACCTTCCCTTGTCCCCACTCCCCCTCGCTCCCTCATCCCCTGTTGTCTTTGTTTTTCGCCAACCCTCATCACTCTGCTAACCAACCTTGTCTTCTCCCCCTTGCCCTGCCCCTGCCTTATCCCCCTTCTGCTCACCTCTTGTACTCGATCTGTCCCTCCCCTTCCCCCTACCCGCCTCCACTGTCTCCCCGCCTTCTTCCTCCCACGCTTCCTTCTCACCTTCTACTCCACGACTGCCCCTCCCCTTCTCCCATCCTGTTTTCACACCAACTCATCGCTCCGCATATGTTCGTTCTCACTTTCGCTCACCTTATACCCCCTCCTTACCTCACCCCGCCGTCCCTTTGTGCCCACCCCATGCCCCCCCGCTGCCCTTCCCCCTGCTTCTGTCCACCTCCCTTCTGCCCTGACTGCCTCAGGAAACCTTTTGGGAACCCACGCCGCTCCCACTGCCTTCCGCAACGATCCTGGCCTCCCCCTCATCAGCCTGGACGACAAGGTCGAACGCTGGACCTGCGCGCTCTGCGATTTTATTTGCGGCCCGGCCCTCCACATCGCAATCACGCACATCCAGTCGGACTGCCACTCCACCCGCGTGAAAGCGCTGACTCATCGCCCTGCAGCCAAGGTCACTTATGGCCCCTGGCGCGCGCTTACCTTCCTGCAGAAGCCCGAAGTGATTGCCTTTCTCAATGGCTGAAGTTACTTTTGCCTCGCATGAGACTTGTTAAAGCGCTATGCTTGGTGTCTCCCCTTTTGTTGACTTTTGCTGGCTTATCTCCACTGCTCTATGTTTTATTGTGCGAGTTTATATCAGTGTGTGTGGACTCTATTATCCTGTTGCTTGGAATCGCTTCACTCTCGCCCTTAATACAACGCAATCCTTCCAACTGCAACCCCACTTCGCTAGTCGCCCTTTTACTAGCCTACCCTCCACATTTCCTCACTGCGGTTTTTAGCCTACTCACTCGATCGTTGCTTGGATCCCAACTAACCCGGTGGATACGCATGTTCTCTCATGCGCGGGTCACCCACCCCCCCCCATGTTAACACACCTTCGCATACGCTGTCTGAACGTGAACGGCCTAAACCAACCGCATAAAATTAATGCCCTCCGAAGCTGGATCTCGACACAAACCGAACGCACCGACATCCTGATCCTCGTTGACACCCGCCTAGCACGCCGTTACACCAAACTCACGCTCAAACTCCGCCCCTCCGCACATGCCCAAGCCCCCTCCCCCGCGCGCATATCCCGTTCACCCCCGGGCGGTATAGCCATACTCTGTTTCAATAAATCAGTTAGCATCTCCTCTCGCTATGCGTCTCCCGACGGACGTCTTCTTATGGTTCACATTAACCATCTACATGAGCAAATCCGTCTGCTTGCTGTCTACGCCCCCTCACACGCCACCGACCGTAGACTATGGTGGCGCCATGTTCTCAAGCCTGCCCTCGAGACCCCATCTTCCAGCGCCGGTACCATCCTAGCTGGCGATTTCAACTCTGTTGACGCAGCCACCGATCGAAACCGTCTCTTGCACGGCCACGAACGCGGAGAGGTCTCCCTTTTCACCAGCATCCTTGCTCCCCACTCACTGGTCGACACCTTTCGCCTTCTTCACCCTAACACCACCCTTTTCTCATTTCATGGAAGACCACGCTCCTCCGCTCCTGTCCCAGCTGCCCCCCCCCCCCCCCCCCCCCCCCCCCCCCCCCCCGCCTCCCGTTTGGATCGCATTTATATCTCTCTAGCCCTTAGCTCACGCATATCTGCCTCCCCTTATGCTCTCGTTCCCCCATCTATTTCCGACCACGCCCTTGCACCCTTCTGCGCCATTTCCTTCAACAACCCCGCCATGGCCCCCCGCCCCTGGCGCCTGAGCACTTCTCTCCTAAAACGCCCTTTCGTCTTCAAGCTCCTGGCCGAAGAGGCCGCCCTCCTTGGTTCCAACCCTTCGGCTGCCGACTGGGACCGCTGGAAACTCCACCTTACCCTCCGTCTCAAGCAGTTCGCCAACCATGAACGGAACCGCGTGTCCAAAACTATTGCCTTCCTCCAGCATTTGATCGGCAACCTCCTGCTCCGCTCAGCCTCCCAGGCTCCTAACCCCATCACAATGGCCGCCCTTGCTAAAGCGCAGCACCAACTCGCTCAATACGAAGCTGCCAAAGCGGTTGAGATCGCCTTCAAAGCCAAAGTGAAAGTGGAGGGACACAGAGAAATGGGAATTTCCCCCCTCCTCGCTGGCCTCGGATCCCGCATCAAGGCCTCTCTCATCTCCTCCATCACTCTTCCCTCAGGATCCTCCACCGACCATCTTCCTTCCATGACAGCAGCCTGCACAACCTTTTTCAGCGCTCTATACAGTGGCTCTCAACCCATCTTGCACGATATCGGGTTCTGGCAACATATACCCAAGTCCTCCCTCCCCCCCGACCTTGTGCGACGCATGGACGCGCCGTTTACACTTGCGGAAATTAACCGTGCCATCTCCAACCTTCCGAAAGGAAAAACCCCCGGCCCCGATGGCCTCCCAGGCGAACTGTACCGGATCCATAAAGCCCACTTTTGTCCGCTCTTCTATTCCTTACTAACGTCGTCCCCCTCGCCCCTACCCGCCCTTCCCCCATCGATGCTTCGTGGCCGCACGGTCCTCATCCCCAAAAAGGGAGACTCCTCCTTGCTGGACATCCTCCGACCTATCACACTCATGAACTCGGACTACAAAGTCATTGCCCTCTGCCTCGCCTACCGCCTCCAACAAGCCCTTCCGCTCATCATTCACCCCTCACAAACTGCCTTCATCAAACACCGTAAAATCGGGGATACCATAAATGATATTCTTGACATTATGGACTGGGCCTCCTCCAAAAGCTCCCCCCTCCTCGCCCTCACTGTGGACATTCGAAAGGCTTACGATTCTATCGACCGTGAATTCCTCCTCTCCAGTCTGGCCCACCTCGGCATTCCAACCTCCTTCATTGCATGGGTTCGCCGTTTGCACACCAACACCTCTACCTGCATCTCAGTCAACAACCTCGTCGGTGCAGACTTCCCCGTGCGCACCGGAGTCCGGCAGGGTTGCCCCCTCGCCCCCTTACTCTTCATTTGTGCCATTGAGATTTTTCAGCGTCACATGTCCCTCTCACTCCCCGGTTTCGCCCTCTGCCCTACGCAACGCCGTCTTATGGCCTGCTACGCGGATGATGTCACCCTCTTTCTTAACTCTGACGCCGAACTCGGCATCGCAACCGACAATTTGCAAACGTTCGCCTCTGTATCGGGGGAGTACCCCAATTGGGCTAAATGCTCCCTCTTGCTCTTTAACATCCCTGCCCACTCCATCTCTCACGCTGGTAACATCCCAATCCGCTCGTCTGCCGAGGCCGAACGTATCCTAGGTGTCTTCGTCGAACAAGACTCCCCAGGTCGCACTACTTGGGACACCACCGTGTCCAAGATCCAGCGCACGGCCAAAGCCCTGGCCGGTCTTCGCGCAACCGCTTCTTGTCGCAAATCACTCTCCAACATCTTTTTAAACATGGTCATCTCATTCCCTGCTCGTTTCCAGCCTGTTCCTGCTCCAATCCTCACCCGTCTGGATGTCGCCGTTGGCAACTTTCTTTCCTCCTCCCGCTTCAAGGAACACGGTCTTGCTGTCCGCCTTATCCCAAACCGTATCCTCTACAACCATGTCTCACATGGGGGTCTCGGTGCCTTCTCCCCCCGCCAACAAGTCCTCGCCCTCTCTACCCAACGCGCCCTTCGCCGTTTCGGCGCATCCCCGTCCGAAAACATAGCCCGCCTTTCCTCCACCCTTCCATACGGCCTCCACGCCTTCCTCGCCCACCCTGACATCCTGCTACGCAACCACCTCCCTTCGGAAACACCTGCCCGCGCCCTAGCCGAACTCCACGCCTTTATCTCCCTTCCCCCCACCATCCTTCCCCCTCGTCTTGTGGCTGCATGCATTTTGGAAGAACCTTTAGCTTTCAATCGCTCCATTCTCCGTCCGAACGGCAAACCTTTTGGCGGGCGTAAGCATGAGCGTTTCCTCATCTCCCTTGAGCTACGCGTGGGCCACTTCGCCCGCATCACCCCCACCTCGGTCCGCCCTCTCTCTAACGAAGAATTCACCCCTCTCTTTCCCCCTCGTTATTTTCCGTCTGGCAGACGAATTCTCAAGCAGGTCTGCTCAGCCATTCCGGCAGACTGGTGGGCGACCCTCGCATCCCCACACCCTACCCCCCCCCCCCTACGGCGACTGGTACATCTCGGCTGATGACCCCTCCGTTCCTCCCTCTCTCGTCTTCGAAACCATCCACTTCTCCCCACCTTCCTTCATCGATGTGTCCGTCTTCACTGTCTCACGCTCATCACGCCTCTCCAAACACCCCCTTGACACTCGGCGTTTGGATCTCCATCTCCTAACTCCCGTTCGTGTTCAGGGAAGGTGGTTAGCTGGGCCACTTCATACAGGTGCGGGTCTTGGAGCAAGGATAGAGCTCCTGCAGGATGGATCCCCTTCCCTTGCAGATATCCGTCAACTGCGCTACACACAGCTACCTCACAACCACGACACACGTTGGATCGCCTCCCTCCCTAGGCCTCCCCCTCCTTTTTTCCCCAACCTATCCCATGACTTCCTCCGTGACCAGCCGAGCCAGCAGAGAGACCTCCTCTTCCGCCTATACACCCGCTCGCTCCCCTCTGGCGCTCGCTTCCAATTTGCCAATGACCGTGGCATCTGCCCATGCTGTACCTCGAGGGCGTTAGAGACCATCTCTCACATCTTCTTTGACTGCGGAGTCGCCCCCGCCATCTCCACCGCTCTCCGCTCTGTCGCCCGACGCCACCTAGGGCTCTCCACCGCCTCAGAACTCACCCTTTTCCCCTTACACTCGCGCGCCGGTCAATCCGCCCCTTGGAGCCTCCTTGTCGGTGCAGCCGCCAAAGCCATTTGGAACTTCCGCTGCGAAAAGAAATTCCAGGACTCACCCACGACCAGATTTGAAGCCCTCCAACTCATTTTGGCTCAGTTTCTTATCGCTTTTAAGATCTTCCTCTGGCGCCGCGCCAGACAATCTCCCAAAAAACGCTTACGCACAGCCTCCAGCATCTCGCGCGCCAAACGTCTCCGGTTCTTTCTATTTACCCCCGACGGGACCCCTTCCATTCACCCGGACCTTCGCGCCTCTTGGCTCCTGAATGACACCTTTCGCCCCCCTTGAACCTCTCCGACACGTACAGTGCAACCGGCGGCTCACTCCGGCGGCCGCCTACGGGTGGGGGAATAGCGTATATTGACGCACACCTTCATGGTGTTGATGTCTATTGTGCATCATAGTCCTTTTGCATTGTATTCATATTTGTACCAGGTTACGACCTTAATATAACCTTAACCTTAACCGCATCCTCATTGCTCCAGTCTCCAGATCGGCCGCAAATGGCGCTTTGCCATTCACCCGCCCGTTGTGCAGCGCCGCAGCATCACTTCGTTTTCAACCTGACTCCGTCCCCGCGCTCTTCAAATGCCTCCGCAAATCCCCGCGGACTATCCCCCCGCCTCTCCCATCTCTCCGCCTCCCCCTTCCACGTTGTGCCTTCTCTGCCGGACCTCGCAACGAGCCTATCGGTTTGGCATGGCGAGGTTCCCCTACCCTTCTTTTCGATACAGGCTCGGAATCCGAACCTCCCAAGGCGTCCCAAACACCAAAGCACCTTCAGGACTCGTCACTCACGTGTACAATCCGCCTCGATAAGAGCGAACTCGTTACCATCATCCAGGCACTCGGCATCAACGGACCCCTCCTCGCCCCTTTCCGCCGCGCACCCTTCCCCCTCCCCGCTCCCCCCCGCGCCCCTCCCCTGCCCCTGCGCCATCTGCTCCCGCCGTGCGCTCATCTCCGCCTCTCTCCTCCTCTCCGCCTCCGCGCTCCCAGCAAACGCAGCCGACTCCGCCGCTTCCGCGCAGACGGCGGAGGCGGCGCAAGCGGCGCTGGCGGCGGTGCGCGGCGGTAAATGGCGGTGGCAGGAAGAACTGTTCGCGTGGATGATGGCGACCGGTATGAAGGAGTATGAGGAGAGTGTAGAGGGGTATAAGTTTGCTCTATTTGAACCTCTTAGATCGGAAATCAGTAGAGTACCAACAGGAGGGGAGGATGAAACAGCTGGAGCAGGAGGAGCGGTCGAATCTGAGAACGATGCGGTTTTTAGATTGGTGGAGATAGGTGTTGGGGCAGGCCCCAACTTCCGCTTCTACACCTAGAACTCGTTACAGACGCAACTCGCGCCAGGTTTTGAGGTTGTGGGTGTTGATCCGAATCCGTCTATGCAGCCGTATGCAGAGGCATCAGCAGCGGCAGCAGGGTTGGCGGGAAACCAATTTCGATTCGTTCAAGGCGTGGGTGAAGCGCTCCCACTGGACGACGGCTGTGCTGACGTGGTAGTGTGCTCCCTAGTGCTGTGTTCGGTCGCTGACGTTAGGCAGTGCGTCAGCGAAATCAAACGCATACTCAAGCCTGGAGGAAGGTAAGGCGCCGTGCTTTTTGTACCCTCTCCTCTGCTCTCGCCTCCTTTTCTTTCCTCTCCTTTTCTTCTTCGTCTCCTCCTCTTTCTCCTTGTTCCCCCTCTCCCTCCTTTCCCCCCCCCCTTCTCTGTCTTATACTCCTCTTCTCTTCCTCATCTTTTCTTCTCCTTCTCCTCCTCTCTTCCCTCCCTTTTCTCCTCTCCCATCGCCCTCTCTCTTCTCTCTCTCCCTTTTATTCACCCCGTCCCTCCCAGCTATTACTTTCTGGAGCATGTAGCAGCACCGCAAGGCACCTCTCTGCACCTGTGGCAAACCGTCCTAGACCTCTTACAGCCCCTGCTATACGACGGCTGCCACATCACACGCAACCCCCTCCCTACCATCAAGCTAGCAGGCTTTGCTGCAGTTAAAGCCCGGGAGGTGGTGCTGCCAGGGCGGTGGCTCATCGGTCCCCACGTGATTGGGCAAGCAGTTAAAGCCCAGTGACTGCACGTTCCCTCCTGGTCGTTGGACTGTGGGTGCTGAAAGAAGTGCATGCATGCTGCAACAAGGCAAGACGCAGAGCACGAGCAGGAGAAGGGCCAGGGCTAGTGGGACTCATCCGTAACAAGGACTATACCTGCATCTCTATTTTGTCCTCCATTCTCCCTGTTTTACTCCTCCTCCTTCCTCCCCTGTCTCCTTCTGATTCTGTGGTCGAATCTACCTGCCCCAGCTACTACTTCCTGGAGCACGTGGCGGCACCGCAGGGCACCGCTCTGCACACCTGGCAGCGGCTGTTGGACCCCCTGCAATCTACACTGGCAGACGGGTGTCATCTCAAGCGCAGCCCTCTGACTGTCATCAAGCTGGCGGGGTTTGGCGCGGTGCAAGCAAGGGAGGTGATGGTTCCGGGGCTGTCGCTGCTGGCGCCACATGTTGTCGGCACTGCTGTGGAGGCTTAGCGTGTGTAAATGTAATCTGCCACGCTCTGTTACACTCACATAACACTGCCACATCATATATGTGGAAAGACGTGGGGCTACATGCACGCCGCACTAGTAGATGGGTGTGGCTGTGATAAAAACCCATTGGGTGTTTCATAATGACATGTACCAATTTTGTAATTGGATGTATTTTTGACTCAGCTCACAGAGATTTATCTAATCGAGGTGAATTCAACCCACAATCGTTTAGCTAAGAAATACGATTCGGCAGGCTGACGGAGAAATTGACATTCGCCACACCCAAATGTATCTACTCTTCTCAGGTAAAATATACAGATGGATGTAAGATGGTTTAGAGCCATGCGGTACACCATGGTCGTCTGGCTGGCTCCTCTCCTTCTCGAACCCCGTTACACATTGTCCCCGTTTCCATGCATACTCAAGGATTGCAGGTGTTCGTTTTCAATTCATATACCACGGTTTTGTTTGTTTGGCTACGGTCCAAAGTGGTACTTGCTGCAGCCGCTTTGTACTGTACGAAACCCTACTGAACCGCACTGAGCGATTTCTCCTTCCTGCTGGTCTAGGAATCATACTCTGCAAGCGGACTGCACGGCAGTCTGGAACACCACCAATTGCAGCAATGCCGAGCCTCGCGTTTCTGCACTGTACCGATGGCGGCAATATCGACGCTGTCGATACCAACGGAAGCAGCATCGATGGTGGTAACACTCTATGGCGATATTAGCGAATAGCACGCGAACAGAAATGACTGTCAACCCTGATCGAGCATTTGGCGGGTGAAGGATTACTCAAGAGTCATCCACAGACCATAACAGTACGCAGCAGTCGGAGAGCCAGCAGATAGGCGTTTTGAAGTTCGCCACCCTCCTCGTATCACCGCGGATCGTAGTTAGATTGGTTCGAATCGAGTGAAGTGCCGTCTTAGAACAGCGCTCTCATAATATTTCACTTGTGGTCGCCTGAATATGGATTAGGGTCGAAAGGTAGGCGGACGAATGGATTTTCCTGGGGGAAGTATGGAGGAGGGTTTCCTGCTGGATCAGCGTCGTTTTGGCGGAGATTCGAGCCAGAATTCGGCTGGAAGATTTGACCGCGGGTGTGAAAGGATCGAAGGCTTCGATATCCTCAACACCGATTCAGCTTACAACGAACCAGATTTTCTTATTGCAGCAGAAACCGTTAGCGAGCCACGTGGTGACGGCAGAAGCGTACCATCTGACGTGACAAACCCATGTGTGATGGTGATAGGTGACGTGGAAATTCCGTTGGTGATTCCTCCTGGCTCGTCAGCTGACTCTCCCCTTAACGCATGCGACTTGGAAGCCATTCTTGACACGTCACCTTCTGACATGGATACCCTGATTGACACGTCACCTTCCCTAGCAGATTATTGTTCCTATCCCTCTCCACCCAATCCTCCGCTTCAGTCATTAATCCCAACTGAGCTGGAGAGAACCTTACCGGGCCCATTGTACAAAACCAAACCTCCAGCTACAGCAGTACCAGAGAAGCTTCCTTCCAGAATTGAGAAGCTTCCTTCCAGAGCTAAGAACCTTCCCAGGGACACGTCACCCCCTGGTAAGATTCGCAGGGGCGATCTGACCACTCGCCTGGCGTCACTTATCCGTGGAATCTCTTCCAAGCCTCGGCCTGCGGCTCGGCCCGTGCCAGGCAGCCGAGCCACGCAATCAGGCTCGAACAAAGTCTTGCGATCAGGCCCAGCAAGTGGTAACTCAGGTACGGAATACAGTGAGGTTCGGGCAAACAGCATGGCAGATATCGGCGTTGCACCTGACCAGTTGAACATGCTTGAAAGAACAAGCATGGGTTCAGGTGCGAGAGCAGGTCAAGGGGAAGCCAGCAGGGAAGCAGAGGGGGTAGTAGTAGGAGGGGGAGGGTTACGAGCAGCTAGGGGTGCAGTGCAAGGGGGGGTTGGAACAGGAATGGCAATGGAGATGGTGGGTGTGTTGCAGAGCCTGTCGTGTGGGCTTGAGCGGTTGAAGGAGCTACGGGGGGTGATGGAGGGGCAACAAAGGCAGCAGCAGCTGCTGATACAGCAGCGGCAGATGCAGATGCAGCAGGAACAGCCGCTTCAGCAGCAGCAGATACAGTGGCAACAGCAGATGATTCAGCAGCAGCAGCAGCAGCAGCAGCAGCAGCAGCAGCAGCAGCAGCAGCAGCAGCAGCAGCAGCAGCAGCAGCAGCAGCAGCAGCAGCAGCAGCAAACGCAGTGGCAACAGCAACAGCCAATGCAGCACCACCATCAGCAGCAGCAGACGCAGTGGCAGCAGCAGACGATGCAGCAGGAGCAGCATCAGGGACGAGAGCACAGAAATTTGCAGCTGGTGCAATCAACACCACCACTGCGGGGACGATTGCGGCAGCAGCAGCCGCAGCAGCAACAGCAACGAGGTTCTATCCCACTCCACCAGCATCACACCCAGCACGCTCAACTCACTCACGCCCCCTCCTCTCAACACCCGCCCCTCACCACCGCTCTCCACCTGCGCCCAAACCTTCAGTTCAACTTTTCCCTCTTCGCAGACTCGTCCCTGCGACGCGTGGGCGTCCCCTCACAGCCCAGCAGGGAGGAGGAGAGGGAGCGGCGGCTGAGGCAGCACGTGTTGGCGCTAGCAGAGGCGCACGCAGTGGGGGACTGGGCGCTGGTGCGGCGGTGGGGGAAGAAGGTGCTGGGAGAGGCGAGTGCAGGGGGGGATGCGGGGCAGCGAGTCGCGTGGTACATGCTGCAGGCTCTAGAGGCGAGGGCGGACGGCACTGCTGCTGTCAAATGGCTAGAGCCTATTGAATACCAAGTCAAGGTGAGATGTGGCTGGGGGAGGGAGGGGATGGGTGGTGCTGCTGGCTTGTGGGGCTAGTCTTGGGGTGGTGATACTGTTTAGATCAGCGTGTAGCGAGAGTGAGAAGGCGATTGGCTAGTGGGTGAGTGGTGCGGGGCGAGGCGAGTGCAGGAGGGGAAGAAGGTGCGGGGGGAAGAGTGGGGGGGTGATGCGGGGCAGCGAGTGGCGTTGTACATGCTGCAGGCTCTGGAGGCGAGGGCGATGGGTGTCTCCCCTTGCCTTTTACTTGGTCACTCACACCAGTGCTACTCTCATTGCCACTCGGTTCATTTTACATTACCCCCAACCCCCGGCATTCCATTCTGGCTCCTGTCGCTTACTCCCTCCCACTCGACCCCATGTCCTACTTGCCCCCCTGCCACTACTTCTATTGACAGGGATTGTATCAGTGATTGTGAAACTCGAAACCAAACAATAGCAATATTTTTTTGTTTCACCATATTGGCAGGGAATGTGTGATATGACATTTCAAGGAGGATCCATCAAAGGTGAAAGGTCACATTCTGGAGCAATGGGTGAATACAATATCAGGCACCGATACACACATGTCAAATCAGTACAACAAGCTGTCAGTCAGTGACATTTGTCTTACGTCAAGACACGCAGGAGTTTTTGAACAGTATATTAGCTATACAGTCAAGAAATTGTTTTTAGATGAGTACAAGACCTTGAGAGATGGTGGTCGGTCCAGTAATTTCTTCCACATTATTTTGAAGCTCAGAGAGTTCCTGCTGCCGTATGCATTTTTACTGAAAGTGAGATCAAACTTGGTGGGACGATAGCAAGAGAGATGGAAGGAGGATGTATATGAGTATACGAGAAGTATCTGGTTTCTGTCATCTTTGCTTCCTAATGAGTCTCGGTTTTTTACCTGCACACTACCATTGTACAGGTAAATAAAAATGTAATAGACTAGGAAGCAAAGATGACATAATGCAAATATTTTCGTATACCTCCTCCCCCCACTTCTTGCCTTAAATTAATGCATAGCGATCGTGTTCTTGCTGTTGTTACACAAGATTCGATCTCACTTTCAGTCAAGAATGCGTACGACAACATGAACTCCCAGGCTTTGAAAATGAAGTGGAAGAACTTACTGGACTGACCACCATCTCTCAAGGTCTTGTACTCACCTTGAATCAATCCCTTGCGTTCATAGCTATTATAAAGTTCAAAACTCTTCCATGTCCTCCATGTCTTGATGAAAGGCTGTAAACTTGTGTCACTGACAGCTTTTCGAACAAATTTGGCATGTGAGTATTGGTGACCTTTGTCCTTCGATAGGTCCTCCTTGGAATGCCATATCATACATTCCCCATCATTATGGTGAAGCGGGAAAAAAAAACCGTTGTTTGGTTTCAACTTTACAATCGCTGATCCAATTCCTGTCAGTAGAATTATTGGCAGGGGGGCAAGTACGACCGGAGATCGAATGGGAGGTAGTAAGCGATAGGAGCCTAAATGAGATGTTAAAGTTAGGGGTAGTGTAAAGGGAACTGAGTGGCAGTGGAGGTAGCAAGAGTTTGAGTGACCAAGTGAACGGCAAGGGAGTGGCATGGGGAATGACGCGATAGAGCCTATTGATTTTTTGTACCTTCACTTGCCTGAACTTCTTTTTCCATGCCTGTTTCTCCATGTTTCAAGCATGTTGCAGGTCCCATCCCATACGCATAATCTCCAACTTAGGTTCAGGTGGGGTTGGGTGGGTTCGATGGGGTTGGGTGGTTCAGGTGGGGTTGGGTGGGTTCGATGGGGTTGGGTGGTTCAGGTGGGGTTGGGTGGGTTCGATGGGGTTGGGTGGTTCAGGTGGGGTTGGGTGGGTTCGATGGGGTTGGGTGGTTCAGGTGGGGTTGGGTGGGTTCGATGGGGTTGGGGGGTTCAGGTGGGGTTGGGGGGTTCAGGTGGGGTTGGGAGGTTCAGATAGGATTGGGGTGGGGTTGGGAGGTTCAGGTGGGGGGGGGGGGGGGGGGGGGGGGGGTATAGGCATGAGAAAAAGGCCCGACCCGGGTCGACCCGACCTGATTTGGTCGGGTCAGGCGCGTTCCGGGGGCCGGGTCTGATTCCAGATTTTAGACCCGACCCGATCCGGCCTTACAGAGGCGAGCCGGATAGGACCTGGGCTCGGGCCGAGTCGACTTGGAGGCGGGTCGGGTATCTGTACCCGCTTTCGTTCACCAATCTGCTCAGACTGGTGATTTCGCCCGCGTTCTGCGCAGATCGGCAATCCCGCCCGACACCTACCTACCGCACTCCACCACCAACATCATGTGGATCAACTCTAAATCCCCTCATAACACCTCCCTATCTCTCTACACCGCCTTTTGTTACACACAGAGTGCAGCAGACGTGATGGCAGCAGTGGGTCACTCCCATGAGACCAACATCGTGTGGATCAACTTCGCCTTTGCTGCCTTCGTCCACGAAGTGCCGCGCGCTCTGGTTACCACCACTGCCACACACACACCACCACCACGAGAAACCCCAGCAGCTGCAAGACCTGCAGCAGCAGCAGCAGCAGCAGCAGCAGTAGCAAACTCACCGACATTGCCAGTCCGACCAGCTTCAAAAGCAGCAACAACAGCAGCTGCAATGGCTGCGACAGCTGCATACCTCTCTTCTTTCCCCTTGCCTTCGTCCTCTTCCCCCGCGCCCGCCCCCCCGTCTGCTGCCCCTCCCCCACGCTGTATTCACCTGGTAATGTTTGGCATCATCGGCGCGCCTCAGTGGGCCTCTCTCCTCTGCCGCATCGCCACTGCCTGTGGCTTTCCTGCTGCTGCCGCTGCTGCTGCCGCTGCTGGTGCTGGTGCTGCTTCTGCTTCTGCTCCTGCTTCTCCTGCTGCTGCTGCTACTGCTGCTCCCGTTGCGTCTGCTCATGCTCCTCCTTCCTCTGCCCCTGCTGCTGCCACTGCCACAATAGCGGTCGAGCCTGGTAGTAGCAGCATCAGTAGTGGCACCTGTAGCATGTGTGGGGGAAGGCAAAGGGGCACTGTGAGCAGCAGTGACAGTGGCAGTGGCAGGGGGGAGTTAGGTGCAGGCATATGCAGCAGGTGCGGTCCTTTGGAGTCTGCTTCTGCTGTGGCTGCCGGTGCTCATGCAGTCTTGTTTTCAGAACTGGAAAGAGAAGCGACAAATAAGGTTTGCACAGCACATCAGCAGCAGCAAAAGCAGCATCAGCACGAGGAGGAAAATACATGTAATCAGCATCATCACCAGCAGCAGCAGCAGCAGCAGCAGCAGCAGCAGCAGCAGCAGCAGCAGCACCGCCACCCTCCCCCGCCTCTCTCCATCCGCGTTACGGGCATCAACGGCAGAACGGTCCAGCTTGACTCCTCACTCAACGCCTCCACCTTTGGCCACCAGTTCTTCGGGCAGCTCGCAAAGGTTTTGGGGCTGCCCGTGACATTTGAGATGCTGAATATCCCTCTCGAGTCGCTGCATCCGGGCATGGTGAAGGTTCAGCCGGGGGAGGAGGTGGTGGTGGTCTCCCTCTGGACGCTCATGCTCTTTCCAGATGACTCTGTGCTCCGGCACAACCCACGAGATGCCGTGCTCAAGGTGAGATGAGATGCGGTTCTCACCACTTTTCCTCCCTATTCTTCTCTTCCCTGCGATGATACTTCTGTTCTGAGACGTCTCAAAACGGATTACGCACCCCACATACCCTTCCCTACCCTCCCAACCCCTCATTCCCTTCCATCTAAACCCCTACGAACCCCTCCAAACCCCTCCACTGGATCCAGGCTCCCAAGCCCCCTCTGGTCCTCCTAGCAGAGGTAGACGCGGCGACTCCCAACGGACACTTCTTCCCCCCCCCCCGACTCTTGACTGAACTCAAAAGCCCCCTTTCCTTGCCTCCCCTCTCCTGCCCTCTTCCTGCTTTCGAACCACCCTCCAGTGAATCCAGGCACTCAAGCCCCGCCTTGTGCTTCCTCGCCTTGTGCTTCCTCGCCTTGTGCTTCCTCGCCCTCACCCCTAATAACCCCTCCGAACCCCTTCCAGTGGATCCAGGCACTCAAGCCCCGCCTGGTGCTGCTAGCAGAGGTCGACGCGGCCCTCAATGGCCTTTCTTCCTTGCCCGCGTGCGAGAGACCTTTCCTTTCCCTTCCATCCAAACCCCTACGAACCCCTTCGAACCCCTCCGAACCCCTTCCAGTGGATCCAGGCACTCAAGCCACGCCTGGTGCTCCTAGCAGAGGTAGACGCGGCCCTCAACGGCCCCTTCTTCCTCGCCCGCGTGCGAGAGACCTTCCACGCCATGCTAGCTTTCATCTCAGCCGTCCATGCCACCATGCCCGATTCCGCGATCTCGCCCGTCCGTTTCATCTGGGAGACGCTGCTGTTCCGCGAGCTCATCAACTGCGTCGGATGCGAGGGGATCCAACGGCTGATACGCGGCGAGAGGCTGGAGCAGTGGCAGGAGCGGATGGGGAGGTTAGGGTTTGAGGAGGTGGGGCTGGGGAGAGAGACGGTTGCTGCTATGAGGGAGACGACGGAGGGGAGGGATGGGAGATTTGAAGTGGTGTCGGTGGGGGGTGCTGCGAGGCTCATGTGGAAAGGGCAGCCGGTGCTGGCTGTGTCCGCTTGGAGGTGATTGGTGGCGTGAAGTTGGCGACTTAGGAGTCTATGTGAAGGGGCATATAGAGGCGTGCCTCAAGCATGGGGCCGTAAATCGGATGCTAGGGTATGCTTCAAGAGGTGCCTCAAGCATGGGCGCATGAGGTTAGGCGGTAGGGCACTCTCCTCAAGCATGGGCGCATGAGGTTAGGCGGTAGGGCACTCTCCTCAAGCATGGGCGCATGAGGTTAGGCGGTAGGGCACTCTCCTCAAGCATGGGCGCATGAGGTTAGGCGGTAGGGCACTCTCCTCAAGCATGGGCGCATGAGGTTAGGCAGTAGGGCACTCTCCTCAAGCATGGGCGCATGAGGTTAGGCGGTAGGGCACTCTCCTCAAGCATGGGCGCATGAGGTTAGGCGGTAGGGCACTCTCCTCAAGCATGGGCGCATGAGGTTAGGCGGTAGGGCACTCTCCTCAAGCATGGGCGCATGAGGTTAGGCGGTAGGGCACTCTCCTCAAGCATGGGCGCATGAGGTTAGGCGGTAGGGCACTCTCCTCAAGCATGGGCGCATAAGGTTAGGCGGTAGGGCACTCTCCTCAAGCATGGGCGCATGAGGTTAGGCGGTAGGGCACTCTCCTCAAGCATGGGCGCATGAGGTTAGGCGGTAGGGCACTCTCCTCAAGCATGGGCGCATGAGCTTAGGCGGTAGGGCACTCTCCTCAAGCATGGGCGCATGAGGTTAGGCGGTAGGGCACTCTCCTCAAGCATGGGCGCATGAGGTTAGGCGGTAGGGCACTCTCCTCAAGCATGGGGACTGAGCTAGGGCTCGTGGAGAATTAATTTGAGGCGCCTGGGTACGGGCAGTGGGGGGAGAGGGGGGGAAGAGAGGATGGAGGCAAGGAAGCAACGAGAGCGGTTGGAAGAGGTTTCGGTGGGTGGAGCAGAGTGCAGGCCTCATTTGGAGAGGGCAGACCAGCTGGTGCTGATTGCTTTGGCTAGCAGGTTCGGGGGCATGACTTGAGCACTAGTTGGGAGGGTAAGGGGATGCAGGCAACAAAGTAAAGGGTTACTTTGCAACGGTTTGAAGGGGTTTCAGTGGAGTGCAGTGAGGCTCGTGTGGAAAGGGCAGGCCAGCTGGTGCTGGTTGTTGCTGCTCGGAGGTGACAAGTTGGTGATGGAGATTGGGGCATGGAGACAGGATGGAGACAGGTTGTGTATATATATAATATAACCAAACAATTGCTTGCGTAGGCAAGCATGAACTGGAGCTGGTTTGGTGTAGTTCTATGTTGTGTCAAATTTTCAGCTCCAGTTGTTCAGGAAGGAATACTGGTAAGGTTCACCAAGCGGGTGTTTAGGGTGCGTCAACGAGTTTGTTTTCACTCAACAGCCTGGACTATATGTGCCATTATTTCTAACAGCCACAGGTACTGAGAGCATCAAGAACTTATGGTAATAAATCATTATCAAGACACGCTTTATAGCCACAATTTTTTTATAGAAATTATTCACAAATTATACACAAGATGAGCAGCAGTAAGTTACTATTTGCCATGCTTGAAGATACGTCACGCTTGTGCCAGCCGTTAGGAGCGCACCGGACCAGAGCCATCCCTTAGCGAGCGCACCGGACCAGAGCCATCCCTCTGGGAGCGCACCGGACCAGAGCCATCCCTCTGGGAGCGCACCGGACCAGAGACATCCCTTTGGGAGCGCACCGGACCAGAGCCATCCCTTTGGGAGCGCACCGGACCAGACCATCCCTTTGGGAGCGCACCGGACCAGACCATCCCTTTGGGAGCGCACCGGACCAGAGCCATCCCTTTGGTAGCGCACCGGACCAGGGCCATCCCTTTGGAATCGCATAGGCCGTGATGCTACCAACCTTGAGGAGCGCACTTAAAGCCCAGCCAGAGCCACATGCCAGCAGATTGTCAACCTTCCATTCCCCACCCGTTTCCCAGCCCACTCTCCCAAACACCCTGACGAGCAGGGTGCAAAAAAGGATCCCACCATCGTCCCACTTCCCAACCTCCCAACCACTACACCACTGCTGCGATCTGTTTCTGGCTCGGCTTCCTGCTCTCCACGCCTTCATCCCGTTAGAGTCTTAGTCCTTACTTCGCTGCTTCTCAAATGAGGGGTCCCGTCTTGGCACCTCAGAAGCTTAGAGGTTGATACGTCGGATCTGCTAAGTCACCAGCGAGTCGCATCAGTGTTCACGGCCGCCATGGACGTCGCGAGCTTGCAAACCGCACCAGCGTGGACGACGACCCAGTACGAAGATTCCTAGGAGCCGCGGGAATCGCATCGCTCCTCTTCTCGTGCTGCTTCGTGCCATTGGAGCTCCGTCTTCCTCGCACCTGCCGCTCTGCTGCAGTGGCTCCTGCGGGTCGCGGAATCAGCGGCGTCCCCTCCGCTGCGCGGCTTTTCTCGAAGACCGTTCTCTGACCGCTTGGTTTGGGGATGCGAGACGGTGGCTGGAATGAGGTAGGCACTGATTTTGTCGCTGCTTTCGCCAAGCCAGATGCTACCGTCGTCAGAGAACCTTCAGCCGCCGATAACGATGTTGCTTGTTGCAATGTCCCCGCTGGTTTCAGAGTCACCACTTTCGACGTATAAGCTTCCGAAGCCTCCGCTTTCGTCGCCTCCGCTTTCATCGCCTCCGATTTCGTCGCCTCCGCTTTCGACGTATCCGCCTCCGACGCCTCCGAAGTCATCGTTTCTGAAGGCATCAATTCCGACGCCACCCGTTCCGACGTCATGGATTCCGAAAGGGTGGGAGGTTCCGACGTCACAACCGGTTTAGACGCCATTGGATCCGACGTTGACCGATCCAGCATCGACGGACCTGAAAACGTCCGATCGGTCGTCGCCGCGTCCGATGTCGCCGAACCTTGCACTTCTTGATTCGTCATTCCTAGCAGCGACGCTCCAGCGTCGATAAGACAGGCTTCGTCGCGGCTGGCGTCGTCGACGCTTTCGTTGCTGGCGTCAGCGCAGGAGGGCACCACGTCGCGTTCCTCGCTGCAGCAGGACGCCAGCGTGAGGCTGTCAGCCTGGCGGAGTCTGCTCGTGCTGCTGGAAGAGCTCCGAGGCTGCGGCAGCAACGGTTGCGTCTGATTAGTATTGCAACCAAGATTCTTCCAGAAACTAAGCGCACTGAAGTACGAAGGGTAGTCCGCCTCCAAGGCCATCATGGTGATTCTTCAGAACGGGAGTAAACGTGAAGCTAATCCGAATGCTAGAGGCGATGGAGTGCAGAATGCAGAAGCTAACTTGAGACGATTGATATCACTTTCTGGCTGCGGGTTTGTAGGCATAGAGTAGACCCTGTTCAGCGGCACATAGTCAGGTGACGGGATGGCGGGAGATTAGGAGGGCGAGGGATTTCCCCATTGGCTTGGTTTGGGAGAGAGGGCTGCTCAGGCTCGGCAGGGAGAATGTCGCGGGTTTTCTCAAGTCGCTGCCGAGCCTGAGACTGTGCTTTGTTCCCGCAATGATCGCTTGGCTGCCCGCATTCAGATTTGTCGAGCGTGGTCTCGCCGCAGCTTTGCTGCTTGCTGTGTTTGAAGCTAGCGAGTTTTTTTAGCGACTGCCCGCAAGCATTTCCAGGGACTGCACACTAGGCCGCTGCGATTCGGCGAGGGGTGGCGAAAGCCGAGGGGGAAATGAGCGACAAACTCGGGGAAGCCAGTCAACACCAAGGGCTGACTTTATTTGCTTATAAATCTCACTTACTACCATTCTATATCGAAGTACCGTACTGAATCTCCCTCTCACATGTAACCCCGAGAATTCGTGTCTGAGGCTTGGCCTGAAGCTTTGGCACCGAACCTCATCTCCTTGGGTTCGGCATTCAAACACTATATCGCGTTTCAAGGATCTGGGATGCGCGACACTAGTCAAATAACTTGTGCATTTATGTTTTCGTCTAGCTAGAATGCTCCTTTTCTTACTTTGATACTTGTCATGTCACTACATAGGGAAGCTAGCTACGGCAGAAGCTCTGGGTTTATACACGCCTCTTCATCGCATTTTATAACTAGTACCATGTAGCTCTCTCGATTGACTATCTCCGCACTGTCCTTGTAAGGGCTTTTTGCTCTACACCTCTTTAGAAGATCACCGATGGGGGGTCCTTGACCATGACGACATGAGGATGACAGCTACAAAGTGAAATAAGGGCATACCACCTACAAATTCGCAAGGTAGAGGTACTCATGAAAGTATAATGGCTGCATTTTACCAAAGGAACATTAGAATGGACTCGATCAGTCACATGAACCTAGTACAGAATACCAATAAATATGCAAATCATACCATACATACACTTATTCATCAACTGAGTGTTGGAGGGTAACTATTGCCCTCTACCCAACGTTGCTGTGCCTAGGCTGGTCATCATCCTGCCCCAGAACCAACCTGTTAGGCCTGCTCGGAAGTTACGGTTTAGAGAATCCCTTTTGAAAGCCGTTCTGACTGATATCCTGCACCTTAGTACACCTCCCAAGACCATGCAGGTTTAGTCACAGCCCATGCTGCCAGCCAATCAGTGGCATCAGCTAGGCTGGCTGTTGCCTGTAGCCCCACCGTGACAAACCTTCCAACGGCAGAAAATGCATCCAGGAAACTTCTCAGCAACCCCCTATCCACACGCTCCGATAAGCAAACATCTCCTTCCCATCGCCTCTGTAACCATCTCCTGTACTCACTCCCTCCCGCCCTGCTCCTTGCTCCCTCCATCTCCACTTTTGAGACGTCTCAAAAGCCATCGCCTCTGTAACCATCTCCTTTACTCACTCCCTCACGCCCCGCTCCATGCTCCCTCCATCTCCACTCCCCCACTCCCCCCCATCCACTATCGTACACATCTCCCCTCATCCCCAATATAAGCATCTCCTCAATGCTTCTACTGATTCCTCATTCCCCAATCCTGCCATATCCGTAATATCCATCTCCTCTACTCTCCCATGTGCACCAATCGCCCCTTTTGAGTCGACTCAAAAGTCTCCCCACACCCCCAGCATTTCTCA